AATTATTTTCAATTACACCAAAAATAAATATTATGTACGCGTTTGACTCTTGAAATATATTCAGTTGTCGTGATGATTATTTAAAACTCCACTTATTGATTTAAATCTCGAGCAGTCGATACTTTTTGATCGTATTAGGTCAATTCAAAATATAATAGATGATTTCGGACGTCAATAAAATAGAAAGCTATGTCTGTTGGACCACAAGGAAGCTACTAGCAGAAGGCCTTTCCTCCTATGCACAGGGCTTTAAGTTACACCAGTACAGTCCAAGTTGGTCGCATGTGCGTGTAACGTTGGTGTTGTTACGTGTGTTAAAAACGTTTTTTGTGCTTTGTAAAAAATGTCCAGTGCAATGGATTCGGACGTGCAGTCTACAAGTGTAAGGTATCTGATTCAAACACAGCTAAGAGTCATGTGACTCTTAGTACCTTTCGTCTTATGTATGATTGAATGTAAATAAACGTATCCATATCAGATAGAGGCAGACGGTTATACAGGATACAACGTACTGTAGTTCCGACATTTGTGTTGATTCAGGTTAGTTTAATAATGTTAATTTTGTAAATAATGTAAATAGTAAATGTTAAATAAATCCCACAGTTATTTTACTGCAACAACCACGTCGTGTCATTTAAATAACGCCCACGCTTACGCAAGTACTGTGGCTGCCGATTCGGTGGTCATTAACATTACATTCCCCATGAATCCTTCGGACGTAGCTTTTAAAAGAGGAAACGCTCAGTCTGCGATTTCAGTATCAAACGATGATGAAGATGCAACTGAAGATGATGCGTGTATAGTTACTATATCCTCGAATTCTAGCAATCGTCGTCGATCGTCTGATCCTTTCGAATACCGACCCCCCGTATCATGCAGTCAAGAGTGCAGGGACTGCTATCGCGTAAGTAAAATTCAGCATGAAATTCGCATATAAACTCGGCTTATCGTAAAAACGATTATATCAATTGTTTGTCCATTGATTTATAATAATTTTCAATTCTTTAGGACTACAAAAGGGAGATGGGGACGTGTCTGATTTTAATTCTGTTTACCTTTGTAATGGTTGCAATTTATTTTTCCATGTTCGATATAGTTTAGAAAATATTGACTGTTATTTCAAAGGTATGCTGAATTGTAATTTTTTTACATTAAAATTTATAAAAAAATCATAAGTTAATTAAAAAATTACTTTTAGGTACATTAAGTGTAAAGGTTCAAGACTATAAAATTGACTTTCGTAATGAATCTCATGAAGAATCAAAGACGTTGAATTTTCAAATTCAAACTCCTAATTCGACAATGAACTAGTATCTACTGTGTAATTATTAAATGTTTGTAAAATATTTTTTTATATAATAGGAAACATTAGAACTATTTGTATTGATAAAATTGTTGTACTATAACAATGGTTGTTGCTTTTTTCTCAAAAGTTTGATTTTCATTAATTTAAAAATTACTATCATTCGTTCATAATAGTTAAGAGATATTAAAAAAAAATTGTATGGAATAAAAGCATAATCCTAATATTGAGCAAATTTTTTTATAGTCGATTTGGAAGTTAATTAAATTTTTTAGAAGGTTTTGAATGATGAGACTATATAAATTCTGTTCTGTGTTGGTGTAGAAATGAAAAAACTGTCATCTTTTTTCAAAAAATAATTTGTATTTTCGTTACTGTATAAAAATAAAAATTGACACATTCACAAAACCTAGTACAATAATAATACAAAATTAATGCACAAACGTTACTTTACAAACATGGCCGTTAAACGAATACTTTTCCACCTTTGTGATCAACGTAAACAAAATTTTTCAAACATAACAAGAAAAAGCAGTTCTAAAAATAGCAAACAATCTCTCGCAAAATTGATACCGGCCCTCCGAACTCTCTTCTTTATTTTGAGAACAGAACAAGAAAAATAATCCGTCATTTCACTCAATGCTTTTTCTCCAAAACAAGCAATTACGAGCGGTCGAAGTTTTGCTATATTTTGAAATACTCTAATATAATATAAAATCCAGTACTGTAAAGCACTATCGTGTAACACAAAATCTTCGACATAGCGGCAATTTTGTGATTTTTACTATAAAAATTTATAAACACTTTATTATCAACTCTGTCCTTGACTGTGCCTCTCCCAATATCTACTCATCGTGAAATCAATCTTACATTATGACTTCATCTGGAACGGTGGAGTCTTCGTTGAAATACTATCTTCTTATCCAATCGGATAGCATCATAGAGGGTACAAGCACGAGCACGAATGGCAAAACCAAGAGGATCAACATCGTAAGCAAGACCACAGGCAAGATCCTGACAACAAGCGGCGCGCACGCAATCACCACAATAAGAAGCACTCCGAGTTTAGTCAAGAAGAGCTCGGACCATTCGTAATGAACGGTTGCGAACACCATAAATATGCACGTGAACAGTGACATCTGTTATTAGGCAAAAATAAAGCAACAGTTGTAATAATTGTAAATAAAAAAAATTGATTTGATCTCTAGTTTATTGTGTTTACCTGAGGCATGGCTTCTTTGACTAGTTTGGCAGCCTGGTTACCGAAGTTCATAGCATTGCGAAATGTTGACGCGATATCTTCCTCAAACTCTCGACGACACCTGTCTGCCTCTGCTTCGCGCGCCTCTGGCTCGGGTGGAATTTGTCGGACGAGCGCCGGCTGAGCTCGGGTTGGCGCAACCGGTGGAACCTGGATAGGTTGGAGGGCGATCGCCTGCTCGTAAGTCGGTAACGGTATTTCTAACCCGCGGAGCACTGGGTGAACCCGTAGTATTTCATCTGGAAGTCTGTTCGACTGCTGATTAATCGTATTTGCACTGGCCATTATGACGTAGAGTCAAAACTTGAAATTAGTATAAGCAGCGTGTCGATTCACGTGTTCCTACGTACTACTAGCTGCTTACATAGATGCTACTGCTGCTGCTACTGCTGCTGCTACTGTTGCTGTTGCTGCTTCTGATGCGACTGCTTCGGTCATTGAATAATGACAACGCATCATAGCTCGAAAACTTCTAAAAATATAGAGTAGAAGAGAAAGTAAATCTTACGGACGCATGCGGACATTTGAACTTAGTTTGAGCGGTTTTTTTTCAAAACAAGACCTCCAAAAAAGCAAGAAAAATTTGTTTTGCACTCATTAAAGTACAATAAAAATAATGTGCAACGTTTAAAAAGGATAAATTTTATGTTAAAATTAAAAAATGTTTGAAAACAATATTTTTGAGAGCTCACGGGTAGAAAGATCCCTCAAGTTTCTAATTTTTTAAAGTTTAGCGGACGTTATGTATTGAAAAAAATAAAACCAATAAATAAATATATTTATGTTTAAATTATAAAGAGCTCGTTACAAAAAAAGGAAACCTGCCGGCCTCTGTTATTGTGCATACACGTGCATTTATGTGAGTTTCTCTCTCTCTCTCTCTCTCTCTCTTTCTCTCTCATTCATCTCTTTCGATCCAGATTCGTGAAAGTGCTAATAAGTAGAACGATACGATGACTGCGCACGTTTTACCTCTCTTCGCTCAAACGCGCGACGCACATGTGTTTGGAATAGTTCTAAGGTGGGGGTTGCCATGCGTTCGATGCATCATATTACGTATATACTGTAATCTTGAGCTCTAATGTCATATTGACCGACATTATGTTTTTTGAAAAAATTTCGTTCCTCTTCGAGGCTTTTTTCTTCTTGGATTCGGGCTCAACAGCGTTTAACGTGAAGTCAGACGATATTCTACTATACGCATAATAGTATTATTGAATGCAATTTTAACTCATAATATCTCGGAGCTCATTGAAGCTTGATATAATATACAAATACAATACTATGTATGCTTTACGGCAGTTTCGGAAATTTTTGATCAATCTTTTTGGTCAAACCCTTTTTTCAATTAGTAAATAATGTGCTATGAAAAAATATAAATTAATCAATTAATTAATTAACTACTACATTTAAATCTCGAGAGAGAGCGAGAAACGTATCGATTCGTAACTCATGATATTACAGATAAAAGTAAATGGAATTTGAATTTGAAATGTTTTAAATTGAGTTGAAACTCGAATTTTTTAATATGTGCGTTTACTTTCACTACGAAAAGAGAGAAAGGATGGAAATTGCTGCTATCTAAGATGCATGATGTTTCAGTTTTTTTTCTTTTATGTATGTGTGTATCCATATGACAGTAAGCGATACATTCGTACGGCATGAGATCATTTACGGACCTCTTTTTTTTAATGAAATTGAAATAAAATTTAGCCACGGAAAAATTTTCGTTTACTTAAAAATTAAAATTATATCTTTGTTTTATTGTCACATTATGTTTTTGATATACCATTATTGGCTGGGTTTTGAAAATGCCATAATTAAACTTTTTAGTTGAGATCAATCAAATCTCATTCTTGCTAATCTCACACGAAATTTGACGGATCACAATGAAAACTCGTCCGGTTATAATCGAAAATCAGACAGGCGTTATAAGCCAAGTAATGGTTTTACTCGTAATTTCTAACTCGTAATCGGCAGTCGTGCTCAAATAAAACTAGCCTATGCGCTAATATGGTAAACGTAGATACCAATTACAAACTTCTAAATACTTATGATGTACGCGTGTTCGCAGGTGTCCAAATTATTTAAAGAAAACTACTACAATCTTATCAAATCGCGATACACATTCGCGTTCGATTTATATTGACGCTCTCTCTGCGTAAAGACTCATTCATTCATAGATATAAAAATCTCTACCATAAAAGTTATGGCTCGCACGTCGAGCCAATTCATACAATCGAACGTGTATTTATACGGAAAACCAGAATAATCCAAATGATTCGTCAAGACGAGTAAACAAAACTTAACGACCTCCCAAGGCCAACAATATCTCTTAATTAGTGGCCATTACCGAATATCATTATAATATCGTTGTTTTAAAAATCTTCCCTGGTGCAGATCCCCTGTAAAACTCCCGCGCGACTCTATCATCGATTTAGTGTCACACGTACTGCCGACGCACGCGGATATACCCGACGGCTTATCCCTACTACATTTATAACGATATAATAATCGCGCATCTAGGCTACTACTAAGCTCGAGGCTCGAGGACTTGGAAAGTAAATCGTAACGCGACGCAGCTCTGTGAGCATATTGTATTGTGTACAGTTCTTGAGCGAGTGAAAAATCAAAAGAAAAAAATAGTGAAAAAATGTCATCGCACGACGAGACGATACAGCAGCAACAGCAGCAGCAACAGAAGCAGTACGTGATTTTGGAGTTACCCTTGCCCACGTACGAGGAGGTAATGAGGGAAAAACAATCAAGGGACGTCAGTGTGTTCACGATCAGCAAGAGTCGTCCGCAGTACGTTGAGCAGACAGCGGCTTCTCGCGAGCCTTACTGGAAGTCGCCGGACGGTAACAGGCTGTACAGAAACGATAATTGTTGTTCCAACAACAACAGCAGCAACAACAACAACATCGCCTCGTTGCATGGCCGCAGGAACGAAGTCAATTTTATCGTGAGTATAATAACATTTCTTTAAATGATGTACGTGTGCCTATGTATCGAGTGCCCGCTGACGCTATCATTTGAAAATTGTCACTTGCAGATCTTCAAGTACACACTGTACACGATAACGGCATTCTCGTTGCTTGCCGTGTTTTTAATTTTACTGAAGGATTTTCGCCTAGTTACGTGAGTATGCAATGCTTATCTTTTATAAATGAGAACGAAAGAAAAATGTCTACATACTCCTTATTTCTTTTTCAGACCTGTTCAATTCCCCATTTCCAGTACATCGGAAAACGATTGAGATAAAAAAAGTGCGTGCTTGTGTATAAGTGTTAATGTTTTATGGAAAATCATCCGAGAAACGAAGTTTTAGTTCACGAAAAGCTAAACGTTGACTTGCTGTGAATCTTTCTTTTGTCAACAACTGTGTTGATAACGTCAGTTCCAATTCATCATTGATCCACGTGCATCGCAAAAATGCAGTGTCATGTCAGTTTCTGCGTCGATTTGATTGCTGTGATTCATCAAAAGACTGTCAAATGTTGTACTTTTTAGGATAATAGGTGTAATAGGTTTTTTTACAATTATTAAATTTGAAATTTAGTTAGAAAGTGTCGTTGAAAAGTGTAAAAAGTGTTGTTAATTATATAATTGTGTGTACTCGTGCACTGTAATAATCTAGGCCTAATTGTTATGTTAGTTTATACATACTACTTGAATAAATTATATTGTTTTGTTATCTCAATTGATTAATTGAACCCCGTCATGTATAATGAACTCGTCGGATCGTCAATATAATATGTACGGCACATATCGATGCATAGGCCGCGCACTCTCATCTACGTCAAATATTTACCATCGCTAATAATAATATAATCTATTATAACAATCGCAGTGTGCAGGAAAAGCGCAGCGGATAATGTCTATATGCGCTCCGAGAGGGGTCAATGGACTTTCCACGGCATTTTTTTTGTCTTTCAATCTGTACACAAGCGTTATTACGAATACACTTGTATCTATACGTATACATGTTGCGCGATTCATATATTCTCATCTCGATGTAATGTACAGCGACAGTCGCATCGTGGCACGCGCGCGCGAGCTCTCGGGCTTGAACCGTCAAAAATATATAATACATATCGCGCGCGCAACGTGACATTGAAAGGAGGAGCCCAAAGAGAGATAGTAGCTCAATCAGTGTAATTCAGACATCATTGAAAAAGACACTAAAGAGTTGCGATATATTATATAGCATACACACATACGTGCCGGTGCGTGCGTACATGTATGTACTTACGCGAGTGAAAGAGAGAAGGAAAAAAACCGGTACAAACACACACACTCGTACATACGGCGTGCGTTGAATCAATACAACACTCCTCGCACTCGACTGTAATATATTAGTCAGCTTCGAACTTTCAGAGCAACACCTACGCGTACAAAAAAAAAAAAAAATTAAGACGAAAAATAGTAAAAATCGACGCGAGTTGTAATAATGGTGAAATCCAAGCTGAAAGACGTCGAGGGTAGCTTGCTGGACTTTGCCGAGTACTCGCGGATCGAAAATGCAGAGGAATCGGAGCGACAGCCGGCGAAAAGTACGTCGATCTACGACGACGAGGAGGACGCTATTCACGAGTGCGCCAACGATCACGTCAGCACGCGAACGAAGGAGCGTCTGAAGAACCGGGAAAAATCGCGCGATCCCACTAGCTTTCGGGAAGATGTCAGCAAGTGTTTCTGCTCGTCCAAGGTATGCCTGCGCGCGCAGTGAACGAGTGTGTGTGTGTCTGGACATTTTTTTCTCACACAGCCGATTTTATTTTTATTTCATTTTTTTTTCTCTCCATATAATCCATCGCGCATTATTATCGACATTACTCGGTGCTTTCAAGAAGCAGTTCCGTGTGTATTGCACACGGGCTCGAGAAGATTATAAGCGGCCTTTTACTTTTATGCTATATATTATACTTTTTTATCAGCTCACGATAGCGAGAAGATATTAATTTTTTCTTATGTACGTCTCTGTTGCAGTGTCGCTTTTTAACTGGAGGTTTTTTGCTGGTGATTTCGGCGTTCCTGGCTGCTCTACTCCTAATATGGCTACTGCCGGGCGATCTGTTCCAAAAATTAAGCGAAATTCACGCCGATAATAGGACAGATGCCGCAGTAGCTAATGCCACAACAGCCAATGACACAATAGCCAATACCACGACGATAAATGATGTCCAACCATAATCAGTATTATATTGATGCTCTTCAATATACTTTTACGGCCTTTAATTTAAGTATCATAGAATATTAGAAATTATTTAAGCCAAGCATCGATGGATAATAGCGAGAAAAAATGTTATTACTGTAAAATAATAAATTTCTTCTATGTGTTAAGTACAGCGACTTGTCGGTAAGACCGATAAATAATCACAAGTCTTGTTGAATCTATCAACAGATAAATTTAAATATAAAAAAATATTAACTCGTTTATATTTTTGTATGCTTTTGACGCAAATAAACATTTTAACTGTTAATTTTTAACGGCAAAATGTAAAGTTTGTATATTCACTATTGACGAGTGACCATGTTTCATAACAAAGCGTGCCTTATCGCTTCAAAAAAAACCTTCCTGAGATGTTTGACACATATGGGCAAGTGCGCAATTCATGGCCGCTTTAGATAATTTTGAATCAAATTATGAAAATTTCACATTTTTTCTAGTACATTAAAAAGATAAAAAACGTCCAGTGTTATCGAATAACCATTAATACCTTGAGAGTTTTAGCGGTAAATAATAATTTTATATGCCCATATTTAATAAAATTATGGAAATCGACGGTAAAAATTCTTCATGAGATCACTGACTAATTTTAAACATTTTTTCGTGCACGAAATGTTTCGTAGAGTTGATACTAAGTTGGTAAAATTTACATATAAATGTAAGGTACTTTTTCGCTTTTTTCCATCTTACAATTAATTCCTGGAATAAGCGTCTTATGTCAACATCAATACTATAAGAACTGATGGTCGCACGTGTATATGAGCGTTTATTTAAAATGCGATTCACGTGCACGTTAAAAATGAGATACTTTTAGCTTGATCAAGCTTTAAATTTAATTCAAAAAGTTTAAATTCCTCAAAAATTTTAAATCTATTGTTACATCCCAGTTGAAGTTACAAACAAATGATTATTGTCCTTTTTTCCCTCTATCGCTGTGAAAACATAAAAAGTACTATGTTTTTTAATTTAAATTATTCGCATATTTCATTACTATAATCAGCCTATTAATTTGTAACACTTTCTTCACATTCAAAATGAGTTAAAGTTCAACCGTGTGTTTATGAATGGGTAAAATCAAATACACGCGATCTCGACACGTTCTGCGGATTTGCCCATTTAAAAAAACAACGTACGTTATAAATATATCATATTCTATACAATATATACGACAGGTCGCCTCCGATACGGATTCGCTCACTAGTTGCGCTCCTATATATGAGCGCGTCCAGCATAAGTCGGCCACCCCGCGCGATTACGGCATTTTTGGCCGAAAGTGTCTTATGTTTAGCTCGCTCGGAAAAGTTTACCAAGAGTCAGAAAAAAAATCCAAACTCATGGATCGATAGATTTTTTCCTCCTCTTTCTAGTGGTGTAACTCAAAAAATTCTTAAAAATTGATTTTGAGGTTAAAACTCGACTTGAATGTTTAAGTCCATTTTCCCAAAAAATGTATCCTCCGATTTCAATTTAAACTGCACCAATCGAAAGAGGAGGCAAAAATCTATCGAAAACCATGTTTTCCAGGATGGAGAAATGATAAGAACTATTAAAGATATCGAGATGAATAGCGCGGGACGGCGCGCGCGGACCTGTTTTCCGTGCGCCAGCGGCGGCACACGCGCGGCGCCGTGTCTTTGTCTTTTCGACTCGCTCGTAATCGCTTAAAAAATGCTGGAAAAATAATGTTAACCCGTAATTCGATAGATTTTTTTCTCCTCTTTCTGATGGTGTTATTGAAAAAATTTCCAAAAATTTTTTTCATAGTCAAAACTTGACTTGAATTTTTAAGTCAATATTTCTTCTAGTATTTCAATTTTGACCTCAAAATTAACATTACCAATCGAAAGAAGAGGAAAAAATCTATGGATTTACGTGTTTCAATTATTTTTCCAGCATTTTTTTAGCGACTCGAAAAGACATAGGCAGGAAAACAGGTCCGCGCGCGCCGTCCCGCGCTATTCATCTCGATATCTTTAATAGTTCTTATCATTTCTCCATCCTGGAAAACATGGTTTTCGATAGATTTTTGCCTCCTCTTTCGATTGGTGCGGTTTAAATTGCAATCGGAGGATACATTTTTTGGGAAAATAGACTTAAACATTCAAGTCAAGTTTTAACCTCAAAATCAATTTTTAAGAATTTTTTGAGTTACACCACTAGAAAGAGGAGGAAAAAATCTATCGATCCATGGGTTTGGATTTTTTTTCTGACCCTTGGTAAACGTTTCCGAGCGAGCTAAACATACGACACTTTCGGCCAAAAATGCCGTAATCGCGCGGGGTGGCCGACTTATGCTGGACGCGCTCATATATATGGCTTCACATAATACACACATTGTCACTCACGGCAGTGTGCGCGGGATATTTCGCCCGGCGTCGCACACATTCGCACGGGCTCACGGACGCACACACATGTGCTCGAAACTCTGCCACTCGAGGTGGCGGCGCGCGTAAAAACCGACTTATGTGTGTGTTGCGAATTGCGATCTCAAAAGTTCGCATGCGTACATGGAATTCGCTGCTCCCCTCTACGCCAATTTTTGGGATTTTCTATGCGCTGCGATCGATGACGCTCGCTGCCATCATCGAGCGACGAGCAGCCGGCAACCGCACAAAAGCAACTAGTATATAGGAAGAAGCGAATCGACGCACAGCTCATATTCGTATCAACTTTTGATTCAACCGCAAATGGCCAGTAGCGCGTTCAACAATCATTGTCCTCTTCGCGATCAAGCGCCGCAGTGTAACAATGTGCTCAGCGGGGCGGCCGAGATGCCGCTGCCGACCTACGAGGAGGCTGTCGGCATCAAGCCGGTCCACGTACTGACTCCGGTCGGGCCGATGACGACGACCCTGCCCGCGTCTTACAATAACGTAGAGGCGGGCCATGTCGTCTACGAGGACGAGGCTGCGGCCCGGCAACACGTGACAGTTCTGGTGAACAACGAGAACGAGAGACACATGCGCAACACAAGGAGAAGAGTCGTAAGTCCGATCTCAATCATTTCACACTGTACCGAGAGAAAAATGACGGCTGCATCATACAGAGTGCTCTGCCTCGCCCACATATACGAGTCCAAAAAATGGCTGAGAGGCAACCATTTTTTGCCTTGCGGCAAGAGAGATATCTCATTAAATTCATGAGCGGGACAGAGCATTCTCTGTGATTTACATGCTTGCCGCAACGAATTTGACCTCGTGACCTCGCGATTAAAGCCCATTTCTATTTTTATCCAAAATTTTGTATATCATTTATTATAATGATTGTTATTTGTCTCAGAACAGATTGCACTGCTTTTGTTCTTGGTCGTTGTGTCCATACCAATCGCTATCATACTCGTGATGACCACCACGAGCTATTGGTCATTCGCTCAAGACCGTGAAGCTCACAACAAGGACTCGCCGTTCGAGAACACGTCGCCGTACAAGGATTCATTCACGATGCACCGAAATTAAGGGAGGCACCGTGTCGCAATATATACGTGGTAGTATATATATGGAGCGGTTCGCACGCGCCATCGATTTTCATTGCCTTGTGAAAAAAAATCTGCGGGAATGACAGCCGTAACTGATCCGTGACTCATGATAGATAGAGCAGACGAAACGACACAGTATTTTTTTGTTTTGTTCTTAAGATAAGGAGGAAAAGATCGGGGGGCCGATATCAACGTTGCGAGAGAGAATTGTTCGCGTTGTTGTTATAACTTTTTTTTCGATTGCTGTTAAGTTTAGAAAATTAAGTTAACGAGCACCTTAGGATAGGGAAATATTTTGTTTAACAGTCATGTTTGTAAAGTGATATATTTGTGTATTAATTTCGCATTATTATTATAATAGTTCTTGTGAATGTGTACATTTTATTTTTTAGTCAGAAACAAAGAAACAAATTATTTTGTACAATAAAAGCACAGCCTTATCATTTCTCCATCCATCCACCATCGATTTTGTAGTTCCTCATTATTGGAAAAATTTGCAAAAGTTTAATTAACTTCGAAATCAACAATGAAATAATGAGCTCAATGTAAAGATTATAAATGATAAAGTTTTTAGATTATTCTCGAATAATCTTATCAGTCGTAGTTCGTGCGCATTTAGTTGACGTGATGTTTCTGCAAAAATACATGTATGAACGTGTATAATTTTTAAACGTAATTGCAAAACAAATAACAAACCGTTATAAATTGAAGATGCATGTACCTGCTATGACGTAAAAATTTTCGTAACAAATTGAACTTGAAAAAATAAGTAGTCTCAAAGAGGTAATTAGTACATTTAAAAAAGTAATTAGAGTCAACCAATTGATATGAGAAACTTCAGTAGAAAGATTAGAATTTAATTAGAGAACCTACTAGAGTCGTAAATTTTGAGTGATGATATTGATCAATAAAAGAGTTATCTTCATTTTATTCCTTTGTTCTATTTTACGTTCAACGATTTTATCATTTAATGTGTCCCATATAGACAATACACATTTTCACACTCACGGTCCGAAAGTGACAATTTCATCAGTTCCCATAGCGCAAAGCGCGAAAAGTGATTTTATCACTGCGTGCGGAAAGTGCTATTTTGACACTGGGTATGAAAAATTTTATCGGCATTAAGCCGGGAAAAAAGAACGCCCCAGAGCACGTGTTTATCGACTTCTGTTTTTCCCGGCCTAGAGGGCAGTATTATAGTTTATGCTAAGATTGTCACTTTAATACCATATATAAGTTCAACAGAAAAAGAATTATCTACACAAGTGAATGTATCCCTGAAAAATAAACACCAGAAATACTTCACTGTATTGATTGAAGCCTAACATCGGGGTTGCCCATTACACTTACTTCGCCACAATGTAATTTTAATTGGCAACTTATGATGAGTATGATTTTTAATTTTTTCCGCCCACTTTTAATGTCATGATCTTTGATTAATTGGTAAGTTCCAAAAATATTACCCAAAGATTACTTGATTGTAGAATATCTATCATTGTAATCATGGACTATAAATAAATACTTGTACTTCGATCAGAAGTGATGATATAAATCGGCTTTCGATCGACGAAAACAAAAGATTAAAAAAATACTGTATTTTGTTTTACGCACGTTCTGTATTTTTTACGTCACACTAATACGAAAATTCGATCATATCTAAATTGAGGAAATAAGTTCAATCGAACACAACGAAGTTCAATATCGTCATAATATTAGCCCGAATTTCATTCAATTTAAAAGTTATATATCTTAAAATACTTGATATCCTGAAAGCAATTCCTTTTTCAAGATTGAAGCGCGAACAATGCAAAAGTCTTTCTTGCGGGGCCTTCTTTTTTATCTTGTTGCTATCGCCGTCGCCCCGCGGGTCCTTTCAAAAAGACACCCGACTCAATAATAAGTCCGTACGTATGATTGATTCGAAAATTCACCGATTGCCACACAGGCGGGCGCGCGCATACATACACCGCGAGATCGTTTTTATGCAATCTCAAGCGCGCACCATGCGATGAAAAAACAATTTTTGCTGCTGCTGTTGTTGTTGTTCCCCACCAAAAAAAGTGTAATAAAAAAGAGAAGAAATAAATGCACGCGCGCTCGGCAATGCCAGGGACGAATCCTGGCGGCATGTGCAGTGAAAGTCCCGAAAAACAGAAAAAAAAGCTAACAACAAAAAAATGGCACTCGCGCTACTATTTTTCGCTGTGACCATGCGCTGTTGCGGCGAACAACGACGGCTGCGTCCTTTTTAATAAAAAAAAAAGGAACGGCTGCAAAGTATCGCAATTCGCCGAAATGGCCCCTTCATTATGTTGTAATTGTCAGTGTGTGCGTATACATATGCGTAATGCGCACGCCTTAGCTAAAAATTTTCAGATCGACCTTATATTATATCATGTGACGGGCACACGCACACTTAGACTTTACATAAATCGGCAGACACGCACTCGATGCTGTTGATGGTGGTTGTACTGTCAAAACACACACATACATGGCCCTGCGGCCTTGGCAACCGGCGCACACGTCCGCGTGGGTAAAAGTTTGCGATCGTCGTATTTTAAAAAAAGTAGAAAAGAGAGAGAACGATTGTGCAGTGGCGGTCTTAGATTTTTCCATACTCATGACCCGAATCGGTAAAGTATTTATCGCGAAATGATAAACTCAATCGAAGCATCGTCTTGATTTCAAAAAATAGCGCGTTAAAATCCGCCTAAATATAAACCTCAAACGGATGCACGCGATCGTGCGAGCGCGTAAAAACAAGAGCGACGAAGGAGGAGAAAATGAGAGAAAAAAAGGAAAGAACGGAGATAAACAATTGCGGATGCGAAAAAGGGAGAGACAGAGAGAGAGAGAAAGAGAGATCCGTGAAGAAAGGTACAAGGAGCCACGCGACTCGCGCGTCGCATGCTGCGTATACATCATCATAAACGACAGGGATGAAGAATGCCAATGGAAAACTCGACTCGAAAAAAGAAGCTGCACACGTGCGATCTTTATAAATATACGACGATAATAAGAAATGTTGCATGGCGTGGCGCATACCTGCTCCTGCTGCACTCCTCTCTCGGGGGGCCTCTCTCAAGGTAGCCGCGCCACGCGTTACACAGCAAGTGTGCGATACAGCCGGCTCTATAACGATTAAATCGACGACGCGTCGCTGTCGTCTCCTGGGCAGCATATAATGTTATGCGCATCGATGCGGATCTTCTTATTTTCAGGGTACTTGTAAAAATGCATAATGGAATGTGCGCTATCAAGATACAGGCAAGCAGGGCGTGTGCGAGCAGGATACGAGAGGAAAATTTTGCGACTGTTCGAGGGATATATTATTTTATGGAAATTGAGAAAATTCAAGCTTAAAAATCAAAAGAAAATTTTTTCAAGCAAGCAAAATGAATCAACATCAAAGCGATATTAATCACAATTTGGTACATTTTATAATTAGCCAATAATTTACGGGTCGACGGTCTCGTGCAATTTTGTCGCGAAAAAAATAAGCATGAGTTTTTTCGAAAAATTATGCACGCGACGCACCGTTATACTCGTTCATATAATAAAAATCAAAATTTCGAGGACCTCCGAAAAGCAATTAGTAGATGGGTTTGGCATCAAATGCTCGTTCAAAAACACACACACACAGACATACACACTCAAAAACTAATTAATGCGCGACGCTGCGCACTCGCGCGTACAAGTAATTAATTATTTATATGTACGTATAACGAGGTGAGACGCGACGTTTTGCTGTTACATGTATATATGAGCGCGTCCAGCATAAGTCGGCCACCCCGCGCGATTACGGCATTTTTGGCCGAAAGTGTCTTATGTTTAGCTCGCTCGGAAAAGTTTACCAAGAGTCAGAAAAAAAATCCAAACTCATGGATCGATAGATTTTTTCCTCCTCTTTCTAGTGGTGTAACTCAAAAAATTCTTAAAAATTGATTTTGAGGTTAAAACTCGACTTGAATGTTTAAGTCCATTTTCCCAAAAAATGTATCCTCCGATTTCAATTTAAACTGCACCAATCGAAAGAGGAGGCAAAAATCTATCGAAAACCATGTTTTCCAGGATGGAGAAATGATAAGAACTATTAAAGATATCGAGATGAATAGCGCGGGACGGCGCGCGCGGACCTGTTTTCCTGCCTATGTCTTTTCGACTCGCTAAAAAAATGCTGAAAAAATAATTTAAACACGTAAATCGATAGATTTTTTCCTCTTCTTTCGATTGGTAATGTTAATTTTGAGGTCAAAATACTAAAATACTAGAAGAAATATTGACTTAAAAATTCAAGTCAAGTTTTGACTATGAAAAAAATTTTTGGGAATTTTTTCAACAACGCCATCAGAAAGAGGAGGAAAAAATCTATCGATTTACGTGTTCACATCATTTTTCTAGCCTTTTTTAAGCGATTACGAGCGAGTCGAAAAGACAAAGACACGGCGCCGCGCGTGTGCCGCCGCTGGCGCACGGAAAACAGGTCCGCGCGCGCCGTCCCGCGCTATTCATCTCGATATCTTTAATAGTTCTTATCATTTCTCCATCCTGGAAAACATCGTTTTCGATAGATTTTTGCCTCCTCTTTCGATTGGTGCAGTTTAAATTGCAATCGGAGGATACATTTTTTGGGAAAATGGACTTAAACATTCAAGTCGAGTTTTAACCTCAAAATCAATTTTTAAGAATTTTTTGAGTTACACCACTAGAAAGAGGAGGAAAAAATCTATCGATCCATGGGTTTGGATTTTTTTTCTGACCCTTGGTAAACGTTTCCGAGCGAGCTAAACATACGACACTTTCGGCCAAAAATGCCGTAATCGCGCGGGGTGGCCGACTTATGCTGGACGCGCTCATATGTAGTACGTTACGCGCGATTTACAAATGAATCGAATCAAAGTCAGTTGTTGTTACGAAAATAACGTACGATCATACAGCGAAGGAGTATAGCAAGGCAGTCATCAGCGAAATTGTATAAGCATATAATGAGAATTAATAATCAATCAGAAAGTTCAAAGTCACGGATCATCGTCGTCATCCGTCAAATTCGAGCTCTCAACCAACTATATATCCCTGTAGCGTATGAGCGTAAGGTCATCGGCGAAAAAAGAAAAAAAAAGATTATTGGCAATAACGAGGCGTTTACAATGGGTATAACGTATCACGTTGCGCGGCGCGCGCAATAATAATAAAGGCAGCCAATTAATGGGGCCCCGTATATACTCCGCGCGAGATACACGTAAAATCTGTTATGCGAAGCTGCAGAAGGAAAAGAATAATTCAAGGTCGCCGCGCGCGCGATCTTCGTAACGCCTCGCCCATGACGGTACACACGACATAGTTAGAAGCATGCGGCTGCAGTGCAGCAGGTATTAAATACAAAATCTGCATGTTTCGTCGCCTGCACGGTGTATCATATAATGTATATAAGAGAGATGCTGGATCGTTGCCAAATGGAAACGACTGTACAGTATACACGGTGGTGGTCTTTCTTCGCGTCATGCTGCCACTTGTATTATTATATACACTGTTTATGTCTGTGTCTGTGTGTGTACGGTGTGGTCATGCCCATTATATACACTCCTCCACTTCTTCGGTAAAAATTACGTCCGGCTTACGCGTATGTATGTGCTATACCTTTCGCTGCTACTCCCGCTTTACCTATACGGCGCGGGGCCCGATCGAGAAGGTCTTTGTTGGGAATCGGAAAGGAGCAGCTGAGCGGCGATCGTCGCGAGTATATAAAGCTCGGGGGTTTCTACGATCGGCATCAAAGTCTTCTCGACTCTTCCTTCGCTCGAATCTACTTCTTTGCAAGCAAGCAACCGCAACCCTCAATCACCATGTTCAAGCTGGTCAGTATTCATTTTATATACGTATAAAAATATTTTATAAATCGTCGCCTGGAATAACCGATTTTTTTTTCCTTCGCATTAATAGGTATGTCTTTTCGCCCTCGTCGCCGTGGCCGCCGCCAAGCCCGGCTTCCTCTCTCTGGCCCCAGCCGCGATCGAGACTCGCCACACGGTCCTCGGTAGCGAGACCACCGTCGAGTCCCACGGCAACAGCGTCGTCCATGCCTCCGCACCGGTCGTGACCGGCTATGCCGCTGCACCAGCCGTCGCCGTCCACGCCGCCCCGGTTCTCGCCAAGCAAGAGCTCCTCTCCGAGAAGACCACCATCGAGTCCCACGGCAACAGCGTCGTTCACGGATCCGCCCCGGTCGTGACCGGCTACGCCGCGTACGCCGCACCAACCTACTACGCCGCCGCCCCAGCGCACTACGCCTACGCCGCCTCACCCTTGGCCTACGCAGCTGCCCCAGCTCACTACATCTACTAAATTAAGATTTAAAAAAAAAGAAAATTGTGCGTGCATCGTGAGTTTTTGTTATACGAAAAACGAGTGCCGATGTGACGCGAATTAATTTATCTCGAAAGTATTACGCGTAGTTAAGGTTTTCAACTCGACACGACTCGAGCCTCGTTCGAACAACTGGAAAAAAGACAATTTTTGTACGATGTATTATAAACCTTTTTTTTAGACGTTATTCGTTACTTTGTTCAATCTTGTGACGCCTACATGGCTTTTTGTCAATAAGTCATATTTTTTGTACAATTCCCAAGTTTTTCTCGAAAGCCGAGTGAATGTGATGATTCGCTCACTATTTCAAGTGCCAATAAAAAGCAGCGATAATTTCTAATTCACAACTTATTATTCATTCTTACTTACTCCTCTCGTAAACAACCTACCAAACGATTGCATTATCCAAAATAGCTGAATAAGACACCAAATGCTCGATCTTGACATTGGTGTACGCTATGATGCAATGTGCAATTCACAGTCGTATAAAACATAATAATGCAAAGACCAATATAAACGTAATCGCGTGCCGTAAAAGCCAGAAACGAAACCAAGATCTCGCGTAATTGTGACGCATTACGTCTTTTTCGGCACCCAAGTACGAATTCCTCGCCTAACATAATACGCATTATTGTGACAAGTATGAGCAACTCCGAAAATTTCGTTCCCATTAACGTTCCATTTACGTTTTCATTCCGTTTTTTTTTATGTTATTTTACTTTTTATTATTTCTATATATCAATGACGCGAAAGAAAAATAAACGCGAGCCCGGAGAACGAGCGCGAAAAATTCACCTGCTGTTTGCGCAAAAAAAAAATCTGTTATTGCATCTGTCAAAAGATTAAGGCACCCAGGCACAGCGATGATGTATTGTATCGTTTGTTAGGTAGCGATCACAAGGATATCTCGCGATCGCGTATGAATTGGATCTTTTTGCGACACTCAACAGCGCGGCGTCCTTAAAATAACATAATCTTCAGTTTCGAGCTGCCGTAATACATAATAATAAAATATATAGACACACGCACTTCAGACACATTTACATGGAGTGCAATGACGAAAAAAAGTCGAAAGTGAGCGGTACAGACACGCGGACAATAGTAACTATACGTTCAAGCGCTCATGTGCATGAACAGAGGTAAATTGGAGAGAAATTGTATTGTGGCAATAATCAGATATAGCGATGTATAAGCACCTTTATAAAATTCGTCGGTCGCACACAGGGTTACGTGACGAGAGCGCGCGTAGAAATGCATTTGTATGTCGAAAATGTTACTCTCCGCAGCGTAGCGGCCGAGAGCAGCGACTGTAAGGTCAATTATCCAATGCTGTCGTTTTGTGCAGCCAGCCAGCCATCGTGAGAGCCTTTTTACGTACGATGAATGTCAATGCAAAAGAACGGAAAAAAAAGAAAGTCTCAGATTTTCCCGTAACCGATTGTTCAATCGATGGGTTTTCGCACATGATAAATACACGTACTTATAGAGGAACGTTTCGGATGAAAAATGAGTCTCGACCGGGAAAATTTGGCCCAAAGAGCTTTTCTCCCCCTATAATATGTAAAAAGCTTTAAAAAAGAGCCATCCGAGAAAACCTTTCGTTACTTCTCTGCATGTAAGGCGGAGAAATGAATTCGGTCCAAGAAAAACCTGTGTGCTCTGCTTTCGAAAGATATTTCGTGCTTGCCTATTGAAAATAAACGCGAGAGAGCTTTTCTCGAGCGAAGACACAGACGCGCACAAAAAACAAAATTACATGTAGCAAATATTCGATTTTGTCGAAGCGCGTGTTGACTCGCGAAAAGTGCGCAAAAAGATGTAACGCCGGCACTGTCGGCTTGGACAAATGCACTTGTTGACAAATGTTATTTTATAATAAAGTATTCTTAACGTGAACCAAGTCAATAAAAAAAGATGAGATTTTTTGCTACTTTACAAAAATTCTATTACAAAAACGAGATGAATACATTTTTATCATCGTCCTCGGATACTTTGCACTCAGTGTCATCTAATTTTTCATCATTATAGTGACGTGAAAAATACTTGCACTCATTAATTCCATAATAATCTTTTAAGTATTTAAAGAAAAATATTTTGTATATGTCACAGCGATAATCTAAATGTTTGTTGACTTTTAACCTGGCCTTACACCTTCTTTGATTCACTAATTTACGAAAGAATACAATTGCTTACACTAGCTAAACTTATCAAAACATAACATTCGTTTGCTTAACGGATCCTTTTTTCTCGTAATTGAAAAATCTCGTCCAATGCACTCAAATCCTTATAACACTAAAAATGTACACAACCGAGTGCAAAAAATCATTTCGAGAAAATGTAATTTATTGAATGATCAAACATTTGTTGTAAAAGCAAAAAGCGTCAGCTCACGTATTGATAAAGAGAAAAATCATTTGGTATAAGTAGAACGTAACGCTGTTAATTCGACATTAAGTTTCACGAGTGACGACGATCAATAAGCAATATGGTGTCTAAACTCAGCCTCGTTCTCCTTGTCATCGGCCTGACCTACGTCACTGCTCAAAGCTGTAACAGAGAAAAAGGAGATACCCTTTTGGACACCGTATCATTCATAAACGTGAGTACAATGACTATTTGAGTCGTTAGCCTTTTTCGGAAAAAATTAAGCACTTTTTTGAAATTTCAATTGAATATTTTAAAAAAGAACTTAAATACCTGGAGAAACCCATTAGAAAAATATTCACTCAAAATTTGGGAAAACGCGTTAAGAAATCGTTTTTATAAGTAAGCTCAAGTAACGAACTGAAAGGATTAAATATAATTATTTTTTGCCATAGGTCATCGTCGGTGGACAGCCGAAACTTGACAGGAAGTATCCAGGCTACAAAATCACCTGCGTCAAGTGCAAGTCGCTCCTGAACGGAGTCGGCAAGATCCTGGGACTCGACGTGCTCAACGGCGGTTACGGTTGTAACTTTGTGCTCGCCCAGGTGGCCCTTCAGAATCTCCTCGGTCAGTGCTCGGTCTACGGTATCAAGGGCAAGCCCGTGTCCTGCAGCGACGATTAAACCGGACCCACCAACACGATAGCTCGTTCATTGTAGTGTTCAAATATTAGCTTTAATGTGATTAATTTCTTTCCGACGACACGTTCCTCTTATGTTAAATATAAAATGATTCATTATTAAAGTTATTCAAATAATCATCGAAAGTGTATATTTTTTGTGTGCAAACGATTGCCAATCGTTTTGTTCACGATGTTTATGTATAAGTTCTGTGCGCTCAATAAATAAGATATTTAGCTGAAAAATATTCTTCTCTAACAAAAAAATTATTCATTTACTCCGTCACATAAGTAAACATCAGAAGTCCATGATCAAATAATAATTGATTTCGACATTTTTTCAAAAGACCCAAAATCAAAGAAATCATAAATAAGTGCATGTATTTTTCAAATCGTTAACTAAATTTCAGAGAAATAGCCATTTTTTTAACGTAATATTTTATAATATTTGATAATTTCTCAACATATAAGCTTAAGATTTTCAAAACGGGTTATATTGAAACAAATATTGGCCATGAGTTCGTTTTAAATTGTCAAAACATTATTTTAATCTTAAAGAGTTATTGTTTATAATGAAGGTTAAGCGGAAAATCATCTGTTTCCATTTTCAGTGATAAGCTTTACCTGTGTATAAAAAGTTATGTAACAAGTGAAAATGTTTTATCTTCGAAATACCGAAGCCAGACTGCAAATGAAAATTTTTATCGTTGATTTTTAAAGTTCTTATTGGATATTTTTCTCAATAGAAATTTGTATGTCTATGACTTGATAAAATGAACTTATTCGCGTAACTATTAATAGAATGAGGAAATCCGCCCAATAATCAAATTTTCAATTCCGCTCTCACAAAATTTTGCTAAATATTTTTCTGATACTCAATGGTTCTCCGTAGATCATGAAATTAAAGGTATAGTCTGGATTGATGCTCGGCGTAACCATTAGTAATTTTTACTTATCATTCTTCAAAGACAATATTAAGAGACAATGTCAAAAACCAGTTTTGAAGATTTAAATTTTTTCTTGGCTTCAATGTCAATTTAATAATAGCAGTTTTTTTTTTTTAATAATAAAAATGTATGAAGGTCGATTAATAGGCAGAATAAAATATGAAATATGTTTTAAAATTTGAGTAACATTTATATTTGATTGTTCAAAATTAAAAAATTGGTTTTTCTAAGAGATCACAAATTAACAAAATATTACAACATGTTTTGAATCCTAATTTTTTATAAATTCTTTCCAACATCCATTGAACAACTCAGATATATGTCGTTCAATTTGAAGAGCATCTATTTGATTGGCCTTTGATACCATAAACCCGGCACGATCCCAAAAGATTTGTGATATTGATTTGAGCTAAAACGAAGTTGCAACCATATCCACCGTTGAGCACATCAAGACCCAATATTTTTCCAACTCCATTCAAGAGAGAAGAGCATCGAACGCAGGTGATGCGATAGCCAGGATACTTTTTGTCCAGTCTAGGTTTTCCAGCCACGATAATCTATGACAAATTCGAACAATACGTAGAGTTACGTACAGACACTTACTGAGGGGAAAAAATTGTACGGCTAATTAATACTTACACTGAGGAAAGGTAATGTGTCCAAAAGCTCATCCCCATTTTCGCGTCTGCAGGTACCACTTCCTCCACCGTTGTTACCACCATTATTACCGCCGTTATTACCGCCATTGTTTCCATTGTTACCACCATTATTACCTCCATTGTTTCCACCATTATTACCTCCATTGTTTCCACCATTATTGCCACCATTGTTGCCACCATTGTTGCCATTGTTACCACCATTGTTGCCTCCATTATTGCCACCATTATTGCCATCGTTGCCACCGTTGTTACCATTATTACCACCATTATTACCACCATTGTTACCGCCATTATTACCTCCGTTGTTGCCTCCGTTGTTGCCTCCGTTATTACCACCATTATCTCCACCATTGTTACCACCATTGTTACCTCCGTTATTACCTCCATTGTTTCCATCATTACCTCCGTTATTACCGCCATTGTTACCACCATTGTTACCTCCGTTATTACCGCCATTGTTACCACCAGTGTTACCACCATCATTACCTCCGTTTCCTCCTAAACCACCATTACCCCCAGTGCCTCCCCCGTTACCACCTCCTAATCCACCGTTATTACCTCCATTATTACCTCCATTGTTGCCTCCATTGTTGCCTCCATTATTACCTCCGGATCCTCCTCCATTTCCCCATAAGCCACCGTTGTTACCACCCGATCCTCCTCCGTTACCCCATAATCCACCACCGTTGTTCTCTTCGGATGAGTCCTTGCCGATGCCGTTAGCGCTGATGATCTGCGCAATCGAACTCGACGAGGATCCTTTGCCGCTTATAGCACTCAACGCGGACAGACCCGACAAACCCGATAATCCCGACGAACTTTTGCCTTTGTCCGACGAGTAGGCCAAGCCAACCACACATGCGAGCAACAACGCGTGCAAAATTCTCGACATTTTTTTTCCGATTTTCCCGATATTACTCGGTGAAAGGCACTGATCATTTGGATTTTCAATCGGTCGGTTTTATATACCCTTTTCATTATCCCCGGTCAATCCTCTTTTGATAAAAAAAAAAAAATTGTGGGTTGAGCGATAAGAGTAGAAAATAATATTGACCTTGACGAAGTCCGCGTTAATTTCTTTGTTTGAATTTTCGATCGTATAACAATTGAGTCTATTACTTCATTAAAAATTTTAGTTTTCCTGGCTTATTTAACGTCAATTCGTGCACCACGAATTTGATTGATATATGGTATTAAAATATTATCAAAAAAACGTAACTATATATTTTAATTCGATAGCGTACGTGCAATTTTTCAGAAAATCGCTTTCCTCGTATCGTTATTTTATCATTATTTTCTTTATGATACCCGAGGAACACGTTATGCGTTATGCAATGCTATGAATAAAAAAAAAGATAATTGGAAAATCAACATCTTTCTGGATTAAGTTCTAATTATATACCTAAATATTTATTTAAACGCATAAACAAATAGAGTGACCGTTAGAAGACGGTCAAACCACTTGTGCTGACGCATGCCGCACGCCGCGCGCGAACGCGATCTACGCGAGAGTGCAACTAATGAAACAGAAAAAAAACACGGCGAGTAAGTTACTTTGCGAATAGAGCATAGAAATCGTAATTTAAACGTATCTATTTGACCTAGATAAGGCAGTGTTACACCGTAAAGACTGTATCATTACGAGTAAGTAGTTTTGTTTATCAATTTCGTGAAATTACCTACGACTCGACTAGTCGCGTGATATTCGCACACACTCAAGTTTAGCGCCAATTTCTTCGCACACATGGGGCAGGGTTGGCACGTCGCGAACTTTTCGGTAATGCTACTATACATGACTGCGACCGCGTTTGGACTGTTGTAGGTTAAACACTGTGCTACGAGACAAAAATCAAACTGTCGCTTTAACGAAGAAATTTTAATTTATATTTAAAATATATAAGTAAGGTACTTGACCCAGCTGACATTTAATCTATTAAAAACGGTATTAAATAGGTGAATAATTGTGAAAAACGTTGGAAAAAAAATCCGGTCGTTCGTTTTGACTTCGGATTAAATTTTAGTGTAACCACGCGGATAATTGTGATTGTAATAGTCGGTTTTGATTTGTTCAAGGTAGTGAAAAACAATGGCCGGTAAAAGACAAGCCAGTAGTGATCTCAATGCTGATAATTGGGACCACGAAGAAGAGAGGGAGGAGGCCGGAGTTTTCAAAAAAGCTCCAGAAGAAGTCTTGAAGCAAAGAGTCGTGAGAACGGCTAAGCGTAGAATCACAAATACTGGAGGAAGCGTAAGGATTGTTTTATTTATAAGATTAAATTACTAATTATTAGTTGAACAAGATGATTTCAACAACTCCTTTTTTTCTTTCCAGGAATCTGCTAAAAGTGCATTCAGCTCTTTCTCTGGATTTAATGCAGCACCAGCTCCTACTCCTGCGGCTAATTCACTTTTTAGTTTCTTAGCAAAAACAAATACTGAAAGTACTACTACACCCTCTGTTACACCCACGTTTAGCACAAATAAACTAGCACCAACTACTAATGGATCTTCAAAGGTTACTGAGAATGGATCAACTGTTTCACCATCAATCACTACACCGCTCACAAATTCATTTACACCCAAAGACTCAAAATCAACTGAGGCTGAGACACAAGAAGGCACATCATCCAAAAAATCTCCACGGTATTACGCAAAGTTGAAGGGTCTTAATCAAAGTGTTACAAAATGGATTAACCAACATGTCGATGCTAATCCTGTATGCATCCTGACTCCCATCTTTAAAGATTATGAAAAGTATTTGAAGGAAATAACAGAAAACTATGGTAAAGAAACTTCAGAAGAAAAGAAGCCAGAAATCAAACTTGAATCGAAGCCTCAAGAAAAGCCACAACCTAGTTTGTCAGATACACCAAAATTCAATTTTGGAAGCACAGCCTCCAAATCAACTGAATCAACTTCAACTGAAAAATTAGCTTTTGGTGGTGCTAATCCAAAATCCATATTTTCTTCTGATAATAAATCTGAAAATAAGAGTCCATTTGGTTCAAATGTAGGTTTTAGTATGGATAAAAGTCCTTTTATGAAATCTCCTTCAAGTGCTGAAAATAAAAAAGAGGGTGGCGCAACAAGCAGCGATGAGAAAACCGCAAGTACTTTTTCACAATCTAGTACTTTAAGTACTACACCTTCAGCAACTTTTAGTTTTGGACAAAGTAGCACAATGTCGTCGAGTACAGGATCTGCAGGTTTCAGTTTTGGAGGGTAAGTACACTTTTTGATGTAATAACTCAGATCTTCAAAACTTTTGTACTATTTAACTGTACTGATTTTAGTGGAAAACCATTTTCTTTTGGAGCTGCTGCAGTAAAACCAGTTGAATCAGAAGAAAAGAAAGAAAACAATGAAGAAGAAGATGATGAACCACCAAAACCAGATTTCAAACAAATCACTGAAGAAGGATCAATTTACGATCAGAAGTAAGTCATATTCTATATATAAAAATAACTTGATTTAGTACATCAAAACAATTATATCCCAAGTTGCTTAATTCCAACCTTATCTGATCCAAAAAAATGTCTTTATTTTTTCTGTTCAAAATAGATATTTGACAAAATCCTTTTTAATTTTCAGATGCAAAGTGTTTGTTAAGAAAGATGGAAATTATAGCGATCGAGGTGTAGGTACACTATTTCTGAAGCCAGCTCCAAATGATAAAATGCAGCTTATAGTTCGAGCAACAAATTCATTAGGAAATTTACTTCTAAATACTCTTTTAACTGAGAGTATACCTATCAAGCGATTGAATAAAACAAACATCATGCTTGTTTGTTTACCACTTCCAACATCTGAACCACCACCAGTTGCCACGTTGCTGAGGGTAAAAACTTCAGAAGATGCAGATGCTTTATTTGAAGCTCTTGAGAAACATAAGAAATAAAGATTTTGGACAATGATGACATGGATTCACTTCGAAGGTTAATTGTGTCCAAAAGTCTTGTAAAAGAAAAACATAATTGCAGTCAAACGTTTTGTGTGAGAATGTATCTAATGCGTCCCTGGTTAAAGAATGTAATTGTAATTGTGTGTGATCTATTGAATGTGATTTAGCCACATATTGTGACAGCGTTCCAAGAGAAAATCGGTTATTTACCGTTTTTTTTCTTTTAGAAGTGATTTTTTGTATTTTAAAATTTTAGAAATATTTATTTTCTATAAGTAGATATGAAATGAATTTTTGAATAAATGCCAGATCAATTCTGTTGCATTAATTGTGAAATAATATTTGGATAGCAGTGGAGCATTTTTATCATAAAACGTTTAACTATTCCAGATCATAATCATCAGTTTTCAATACCAGTTGAGAAAATAAATTTATACATCAATTTTAAATATGCAACTGAAGGATATGATCTAATGTATGTACATAATAAATCAATGATCAAAAATCAAATCATTAACTAATTGTTAATGTAAAAACTACATTTCTAATTATTAACTAGATATTGAGAAAATAATAAAGACCACTTTTTTGATAATATTATTTTATTTACAGTAATAATTTTTCATTTGACCTTAATATTTAAGAATAAAAATTAACTGAAGCGAAAGTAATTCTGATATTAAAAGATTTTAAATAAATTTAAATATTTTGACTTTACACATTCACGCAATAATACAACGTTAATTAACAAATATATCGTTATGTTATATTATACACATTCAATTTTAAGTATACTGAATACACTCGATAAAAGCGATATTTCTCATTTTCTCTTCCTTGTTTCTTACACCACAATTCCCTAATTCAACATACACATTCATACTGTATGAGAGACTCCATTAACTTTTACTTCAGTAATAGGTAATACTAATTTTTATGAATTGATTAGAAATGATGTTGAACATCATTAAAATGTGCTTTTTGAAGCTTTTCTAATTTTTCAAATAAATAAATATTTGTAATAAGAATATGATAAATATTTCTAAATATTCCTAAATATTTCTTTGCTCTCTAAAAGATTTGATAGCTTTTATTTTTAGCAACTGATATATACTTAAAAATTTAGGGTAATAAATATATAATTTCAATTAATATATTCATTGCGTAAGTTGATTTGCAACTTAAGCAAACTTTGATCTGTATGTACAAAAAAACCTTAAATATACAAATGGATTGCCTAAACTTCTGCATAAATGTTCTAAATTTTTTCAAAAATAACATTATTCCAATAATATCCACAAAGAATGAAGCTAAAAATATATCTTCATGCAAAAAGAGAATATTGAGCGTTCATTCTTTTAAATACTACTTTCGAATGTTCAGCTTATTAGATTTTTTGAGTCATGAATGGTGTTAAAACGCCAACTTGTCCTAGACCCAACTGAATGTGCTGCATATGTATTTCAACGTTGTTTTGAAAAACTTGTTTATTGCTTGGTGAAAGTTTAGCTTTGATTTGTTCCATAGTTCCTTGTAACACTTTTAGTTCGTAAGCATTTTTGTCGGAATCAGATAAACACTGAAAGTACAAAAAGTTCGATTAGGAATCAATGCTCTATGATTTTCTTTCTTGTGAAATTCTACACTTACTTTAACTTGTAGCATTAATGCTGTCAAATCGATAACGAGTTGTTGCAAGCTTGTTTGAGGACTTTCATTGACCATATTATTTTTAGCAACCATTTCAGATGCTTCATGTCTACATTTTTCTCTTAAATGTGAAGGAGCTAACATTGCAGCTACACTTGATTCTGGAGCTATTTCTCTGCACATATCTTGTATCTCATTTAGTAATTCTTGCAAATCAGTATTCATTCTTTCCAACTCCACAACAATACTGCAATTTAAAAAAAGAAACACATAATATTAAAATATTTTCATACAATATGTCATTTTTTTCCAATTTGAAACATGATGCTTACCCAGCATATTTTCTTTCAAAATCTGAAGGTAAATTTTCTCCAACAGATTTTTTTCTTTCAGCTTCACTATTCAAATCTTTCAAATGTTTGATTTTAATTTTTTTTATAGCTATAATTTTTCCTACTTTTACCATATTTTCTAACAATTTTACTGGATAGCTGTTGTTAGCTTCTCCTGCATGCATTTTCTTTGTAATTGTGGCATTTGATATTAACGGGTCGTTATGAAGTCGTGGAGATCCCATTTTCATAGCATAAGCTGATGAATTAGCAAATTGCTGAACACTACGAGGTCTGAACTTATGTGAGATTGATGATCTACTAATTGTTTCTGGAGGATCATTAGACTATAAAAAGAAAAAATGAAAAATAAATTAAATAAAAGTTCAAACTTATTGATTAGAAGATGCTTGAAAAAAAAAAAAAAAATACTTACAAGAACTTCATAGTCAGGTACACTGTGTGTTCCTAATCCAGCTCTATCAAATGTAATTCTATATGTATTATTACTTGTGTCTACTGCGTCAATTACACCAGTGAAAAGTCCATCTTGTGGTTTTCTGAGTCTAGCAGTAACCTTAGTTCCTATTACCAATTGTAAGGGAATTTCACTTGGTAAATCTTTCAAAATCATAGAGTCAGCTGTTTTTCGCTGCTGAATCAATCGAATTTTTTGTCTTTTTTTATCTAATTCTTTTCTTTCTTCTTCAAAGAAAGCTTGTGAACACCTTCGAGGTTTACCCATCATACGCCTCACTTGACCCCACTCAGTTCGAGTTAATTTATGAGTCTTCAATTGTGGAAAGGACTCGTTCAAACATATTAGAAAATCATTGTCGCCCTCAAAAAGTGTTCTGAATATTTGGAAAAAGGTATTAGTAAAAAAGCAATGTTTATGTGTTTAGATAGTATAATTCATTGAAAAATACTTACTTATCAATGTTACTGTAAAACCATTCGTAGCAGACCCATTTATGTGCTTTAGGTAATTTTAAAAGATTTCGTAATCTCATACCAATCTTTTGCCCAATTTTTCTATCTGGTGATGAAGGTTGTAGAGGGTGTCTTTTTTCAAAAGTTGTAGGTAATACAATTTTGATTGGTTTTGTCACAGGCGTTGAAGGTGTTGACACTGATTTTTTTTGGTTGGACAATCGGGTATGTCTTTTAAGTGGAGATGGACGAACCTGTTTTTTTGGTGATGGTTTAACAGGCGTTGTATCTGGATCTTTCTTGACTCTATAGAAAAATTAAAAATTTTTTACACTTGTGTCTTTTTAATTAATTAAATTTGGAGTAAAATTTGTAAAATAATATTACCTATGATGAGGATGATTTACCAAAGCATCATCATAGAACAGTCTGTTCTTTTTTCTTATTCTAGCAGGCATACCTCTAGCATTTAAAACTTGCTTAGGTTGCTGAGCAGGTTTAGGTTTAGGTGGTGGTTCCGTGCCAACTCTTTGCAAGCCCAATGCAGCTGGTCCAAAAACTTGCATGGCATCATGTTCCTCTTCCTCTACTTGAGAATCAACGGAATCATTCATGTTGTTATCATCAACATCCATGCTGTCATCTTCCAGCAACTCCTTTTTGATACTTTCCACAGGCATTTTTCCGTTTTTGACAACTGATTCCTCAGTTTCGTCTGTAAAAAAAAAAAAAATACCGTTAGTTAAATTCAATAAACTTCCAAAAAATACTCATTGCATAAACATTTTAGCACACAACTAAAACCCTACATCAACATAAATAATACTAAGAAACATATCTTTCAAAATAAATGTTAAAAATATCAGTGGTTTGTATCGACTTAACATTATTTGTTTTGATTCTTTTGTATTTTACTTTAAAAAAGGGCTAGAAGGCAAGGTATAATTGGATTTAATAAGAAGTCTTAAATATATTTCCATTTTTTTAACATGAAAATTTATAAGTAATAAAAATAATTAAAACAAAGATTTGAATACGTTCAGTTATATTCAATAAATTATTAAAATAAAATTGAAATATTTATGTTATATACAAAATAAAAGTGAAGCTTCTTAATTATTGCTTATTATTCAACAGAATAACTTAATCATTTTCAAGAGGTAAAATGTTTAGATAATGACTCAATTAGAATTGGTTCTTAAATAAAAGATTATATGCACAAAATTTAATTTTAGATCTTTTTTTACGACCTATTCTATATCTCCTTAAATAGATTTAAAATTTAGACTCAGCAATTCAAATGTCACACAACAGCTGATTCATAACCTCAAAAAGCGTTATATTTAAAAAATGAAACTACTGAAATTTGAATGAAATATTATTTTGTACAAAAAAAACATAAGTGATTATCGAATTCAAGATTGAACTGGAAAATCAATAACATTTTAAACAATTTTTAGGTGACAAACATCTGAGAAGTATTAAAATATTGATTTTTCCATCCAAGAAATTAGTATAGTAAGTAATGTAAATTTCTTTTGAAATAAATTTCTTTTTTGTTGTAAGTAATAAGAACTCTTAACAAAACTAAATTTAATAAAAATAATTCGCAAGCCCGATTGCAATATTTTCAAAGTACTTTTTAAATGACTTTACAGAGAAATAGCCTTGAAATACTACCAAATGAGCATATTTCAAATTCATGCAGCAAAATCATTCAAATTCTTAAACCAATCCCACTTGCACACTGGTTAACAATAATTACGATAAAACCATTAAATAACAGGAAATGATATCAACGACAGCACAAACATTACGAAACAAATCAATAGTATACAACCTCACGTAAAATATGAGCAGCAGTTTTTAAAAACTATCGACCTGACTGAAAAAGTCATGCACGCGTATGCGACACAGAAGAAAATAACATCAACACTATATCAACGTAACAACTACTAAGAATAGTCTACAATCGCAAGAGAGAATACAGTTTTTAATTAATGATGAAAGAAAGTTTAAAAACGTCACTTTTATTGCGTCTGTAGCTGTTTTTTAATCGACCGAGCATCCTTCCTTAGGTAAATTAATTTTCTTTCTTTCTATCTTCGAATTTCAAAGTTCTCTTAAAATTGAATATGTCGTCGAAGAGGCGGACGGAGACGAGAGAATATATTTCGATTCCTTCGCTCTCTTTTATTTCTTTGAACTTATATTGCGTTCTTTACTCACAGTCGAAAGGCGAATAGGACCAGCAGAAGTCTCCGTTTTTGTTCAAACGATGCGATCTGTATCGATAGGTGCAACAAAGCGTGAATAAATATTTCCCAATTAAAAACTCGCTGCGATGCAGTTTGAATTACGTCGGATATGGGAACGAGTCGAACATAACCAAGAGTGCACAGCTTTTGTAGGGGCTCGCGAGATCGCGCGCCGTCTATGATTCGGAAAATTCGTAATTGAATACCATCGTTCGCGATTCAAACTCCACGGTACGATATATAATTACCCAGATAAAAAAAATGCTCGCACACGGATCGTTGCTCGAAGCTGTACTGTAATACTGCAGCTTCGTATTTGCACAAATGCGAATGAGGCGCGAAAACAGCTTGACCCGCAGAGAGCTCCGTATATAAGCAGTGTCACGAATGATATACACTGGCTAATGTATATCATCTAATAAATACACGCACGTAAACACGTAGACTGCTAAAATTTACCCACACTATCAATGACATACGTTTGAATATTCTCTCGACTTACTTGTCACGATACTCAATTTTCCACCGTGCACCTTCTTATCCAGCAAAAACAAACTTTACGATATAGTTTTTACAAACGAATCGTGGTTGCCAAAGTCAAAAAACGAGATCGATATAGGACTTTGTGTTTAGCAATCATCGATTGTCATCGACTTCGAATCCTCAGCTATATCGAGGAGCGACGATCGTTCCATGGCTGTATAATAACACGCAGACAGTGGCCCGCTGCCGAGGCAGAGTTTTGAAAATTTGAACTTGGAAATTGTAGAGCGAAATTCAAATGGCGTTCGTTCGGAATCATATAGGGGGGGTCCTCGTGCTGCTGCTGCTGCGTCGCGAAATTGCTCGCTCGAAAACTTCGACTCGTGACTCGCGCAAAAACTCGCGATTCGCTCGACTCTCGGCGAGGATATTTCGGCAGCCGGTTAACGGTTAATCGCGGCGTAAATGAATATTATTTGAAATACGAACACTTACTTTCAATTGACTGGTCGGCCATGTTGCTCGGCGATGGGTTGCTTTATAGTAGTAGTAGTAGTATTGTAAGTTGGTGTGTATCTCCATGCAGCGCGGCGCTGGCTTTCGTTGTATATGCTACCTATATAATAATGCAATGTGCTCATGCGCGCGGCAGTGCGACCTTAGGCCGATAAGCGTGTACGAAAGCAAGGTATAGCGTGTGCGTATAAGATTCGGAATCGGCGGCGTCGGGCTGGCAGCAATTGAATTTTTCAAACTCCACGCGCAGGCGCCAAGCCGACCACAGCGACTGACGACGCTACGCCATGGGCTGCTGCTGCTCGATGATAGCGTCGGCTGTTTATTATGATACAACGCCACGATCTTTTTGACAGATGGGATGCGTAATATTCGCGAATGAGCGACGCAGCTTTGAGTCTCGATTTTTAAGTCATTGCAATCGATGCAATTTTTGGGGAACCCGTGGGTGTGCAGCTCGTGCAGTTTTGTGTATTAAAGTATAAACGTAATACGCAATGGTTTTGTATGTAAACAAACATTGGCGTGCGCGTCCATTTGAAATGACGCGACGCAAGCGACGCAAGGCCTTTACGGGTCAGTCGACGCGGTAAATTCAAAAATTCAAATCATTACTATCGATGTTACTTACATTTTTGCGTTTAGTTCTTCACTGACTCTTCTTTCGTATATTGCTTAATCGTGCTTTTCAAAATGCACGAAATTGACTACCTGCACCATTGAGAGTTTATATTTATTCTTACATTATTGACAGTTCTCGATCGACAAAGGAAGCGAAAGCCGATCTCAGCATGCTCGTTCGTGTGATTTTTTTGATGATCGTATTGCGCGCGGTGAGCGGCATCAGCGCACCGTGGAAAAAAAGTCGAAACAACGACGACGCCGACGATGATTTGAAAATATTCAAGTACTGCCGCGAAAGGGACGAAACTTCACCGGACAAGGAAGGCTCGAGCGATTATAAACTCGCCGAAGCCGAGGTCAATTCGACGCTCATTCTTTACTGCAGTTACTGGTAAGCTCGGTAAATATAAAGTATCCTGCACATTCTTCATTCAAAATCATTGCAGCAACGAGGTGGTAAAAAAATTTCACGCTCCAAAGATCTGGTACTACGCCTCGGACAACAATCGGTCCTACGAGCTCGAGGAGGTGCCCATCTCCATGGACAACGACGTGGGCATGGCTCGCGTCCTCGTCACGACGAATCTCTCGCTGATTCTCAGGCAAGTATGGCCCCAGGACGCCAGGCTCTATCGGTGTCTGCGTCCGCTGCGACACGACGTTCCGAAAAACGAGAGCGAAACCGTAGTGTTGGCCACGACGCCGGCTAGCCAGGATCTGTCGCCGGAGCTGCAGGACTACGAGCAGGTCATCGATTTGAACAACGAGTCCGAACTGGATGATCGATTCAATTACCGAGTCGAGAGTAAGAAATGTACGAGACGATGTCGTCTGAAAATTATTTCGACTTTTTTTGGTTGCAGTTGTCGAGAAGGAAGACAAGAAGAACGTAACGGATCAGAGAGGCAATCACAAGGATTACGAGAAATTTTATCGTGAGATCTACGTGCCCGTGACGCAAAAGATAGCGGTACTCAGAAAAAAAAAATACAACAAGAACAATTTATTCTCGAATATGCAAGCAAAAAAAAACAATGAATCTATCGATGCGCAGGAATCGGAAGACGCGGATTTGAGGAGGGTGCGCGAGGCCGGCTGGATAATCGAGCTGGCGACCGAGTTCGGCTCATGGGGTCCCTGCCGCGAGTGCAAAAATAAGAAAGGCAATAGAACGCGAAAAGCTCACTGCCGGGTCAAAAGTACTTTCAACGAGGTACAATGATAATGTACACTGTATACACGCCTTGTTGCGCGCAATACAAATCGTGCGGCCTCTCGTCGCGCGTCTATGCATATAATATTTTATATTATGTTTTTTGTATTCATGCAACGCTTTTATATTCTCCTTTTTTAAATTCAGACGACGATTACTCGGAATGACGTCGATCCTGATATTATTGAGATGTTCGAAAGATCACCTTTGCTATCGTGCAGGTATGCATATAAATGAGCACGACTCGAAACGTAGTTTCGTTATAAAAATAATCCTTGCCTCTTCTTTTTTTTCTCATCAGATCGATGGAGCTTCGCGAGCGACTGCCAATCATCGGCAAACTGACCCGAGACTTGCCGCAGTTCGAACAAGTGGAAGTCTGCAAGCCCTGCAAAAAGGAGAAAAAGAACAAAAAGTACAAATTCAAGCACAGGCGGCGCTATCTGCTCAACGAAGCCGCCCAATTGTCAATCGTTTGTCCCGAGTAGGTTTTTGTTTTTGCAGAAAATGACAACTTTACAATGTGCACCTTCTATCGTCGCGTATTTAAAGCGACACATCGATGCTGCATTTTGCAGGTCACGCCACACGCGAGCAACAAAGTTCGCTGGAAAATAACAATGAGAGAAAGAAAGAGCGAACGAGTTCTTGTATCATTCGGGTTCATTGAACCGGCTTTATAGAATACGTCTCTCTTTTTCTCTTTCTCTCTCTCGCGCTTTCGCCACACCGACGCTGCATCTGACTGCACTTTATAATATAATAATATATCGTATGCATATGCTAATTTTATAAATGTGTGCATACACTTAAAGAGCGAGCGAGGAGTCGAACGTCGTTTGGAGAAAGGAGTCTAAGATTCTGAAAAAAGGCAAAGGTCACTCGGTTCGCAAGAAGGATCCCACCGAGCGCATACTAGTCGATCCCTTCTTCACGCTCTATCTGCGAGGTATAGCAAGCGAGGCGGACACGATATTCAATCGATTGTGTCATTTTGTTACTTTCTAACGTTTTACCCTCGTTTTTTTCTCTCTCTTTTTTCCTACCGAAACTATCGACAGATTATCGCGACTCGATTATACTAAATTCTTCCTCATTACGTTCGTAACATTTTTTTTCTTTTTTCTTTCTTTCGATAGACGTTGGCAAGCCCGAGCAGGGAAATTACACCTGCACTGTGGATGGAACTCGTATGCTCCAAGTCAAATTGACGGTTGTGATGAGGCCTCGAGTGACGATCAAAGGTGCGTTGCACATCTTACTATTATACAGAGTCGCATTTCATTCGAAATTAGTTTGATTGTAATGAAAAATTCACTTATTTATGATGCTTTTATAAGAAACTAGGTAGATGTCTATTTTAAGCTATTTTGACATTTATGAAACGTTGTGGAAAAATATTCAATGATAATTTAGGAAAGACAATTTAAAGATTTCTTTTATGTCAAAACAAACTATTATCTAAACAGATAAACTCGTTATCAAAAATAATCCCAGGCAACGGCATTTCACTATGCACATTCGGTGCATTCTTCGATTAATATTACGAAAATAAAACACGATGCATCAATACCTAACCCGAAAGAAACCAAAAACTGCAAAAAATGTGGAACGCTTCACGATTTTGCGTGTCATCCTTGCGCAGGGGCCATGCTAATCTTCTCTGTATCGTTCCAATTTTAGTATATGTACTGCCGAAGCAAGTACGCTCAGAAGGGGAGACAGGCAGCTTATATAGTAACCGGAGTCTTTTTCTCGCCACTTGCGGGTACCGTTTTTTTTCGCCTAGTGCGCCTCGTAGCGGTGCGCGAGTAAAGTATCGATTCGTGGATACGAGAGCTCGCGCGCACGCGTGTTGCAGACTAGGCGCTCTAGGCGGAAAAATTCGAAATCGCATCTTACCCTGTATTTAATACACTGCTTATAACTTATATACTATTTCTCGCTAAATTTTTTGCAGAATTACTGAAGTATCTGGGCTATCTGAGTTTTATTTTTTTGGTCTCGTTCGTCGCCTGGATAATCGGCATAATACGAGCCTGTCGCAATCCTCAAATATTCGCCGCCAAGCAGCAAGAAGAGCTCGAGGAACTCATGAAGGATCTCTGAAAATTGAACATCGATGCATTCTTAGTATACGTTAATTAACTCGGTAAGTTTCCTCTCGATTCATCTCGAACTCGACGAGTTTCGCAAATATTTAAGAATGAAAAAAAAATGTCATCCCACTTTCATTAGCGTGCACGTCAACATAAATATTATAGTTGCGGAAAGAGAAAAATAATATGATAAATACGCAACTGCGCCGAGAGCCGAAGAGACAACAATGCGAAAACGATCGAGTCTCTCGATTAATTGCAAAACTCGTCGCGCGTCTATATATAAACCACCTACAATGTATAAGCCTCGAGAAGCCAAGGCGTCTCTAAACATTGGAGAGCGGGTCGCATACCGATACGACGATATATATAAGGATACCGAGCATATTTGTGCTGCCGAACGCGCGCGCGGAGGCTCGGCGGCTGCGGCTTCGGCGGCGGTGGGACTCCTATAATACACGTGAGTAATATATACCTGGGCAAGACGAGCGTATATGCAGGCTCTCTCTCTCTCGCTCTATCTCTCAGCTGTCTACGTAGTTGTATAGCTATGTCTTATATACCTATGTACCGCGAGAAAGAGGGAGACGGAGACAGAGAGAAGTGAAAGGAAAAAGGCGAGAGTATGTAGACTGGAATATATGTGCTCCGGGGCCCGTGGGGTTTCGTCTTGGCTCGCGGAGTTCCTCGGCAGTGCCAAGCCAACTGCGCTGCTGCTCTTCAAAATGGCTGTGCCTCGTCCGACTTTAATTTTATAAAACAAATAGATATTAAGAGTCCTCGCCCCGAATTTTCCCGACACACACGCACACAGATCGACGATCGAATTTTCGCTCGCGATCGAGTACGCGTGCGGGATCTCGAAAAGAGATTACAGTGGGTGCACAGTGGGGTGGGTCATTAGACTTGTGCACGAAAAATCGTACAAGAGAAAAATCGTCGTCATGAAGTACTGGAGATTTTCCTTGGCTGCTCTGCTGCTGGTGTTGTGTCTGGCGGACAGGTCATACGTCAATGCTGGTCAGTATCCGTGTTAGAATGGGCATATATTGTATGAGCGTAAAGTGTATGGTATAAGGTATACTTTACCTACGGTTGTACATTTTGATTTTTTTTTCGTAATAATCATCGACGAAAGAGAAAGCTAGATATTTGCGGAAGCCGAAAAATGAAGTAATGCTCGTTATTGAATCAAACAATCCGCGGCGTTGAAGACAAATAAAATAGCAGAACAATTTTTCAATTTGTTCCTTGACGCATTCATATATCAAATAAAATTAGAGACGTCAATGAGAGTACATGAATATATTTCCGGTACTGCGATCGATTCGACGGTTCAGCAGCAGTTTTCTTTTTTCATAGGAATGCTACAAATAAACAAACAATCTCAGAATACGTACGAGTGAAAAACGGCGCTGCTTTCTAATAATTAATTGTCAATTGGGCAAAGAGAGAAAGAGAAACACGTAGAGAGTTAGGAAGGAAAGCTTATTTATTATCATCTTGGCTGGTCGGCGCAAAGTAAATACTAATTGTTTCAACGATTCGTCTAATTTTTCTTTTCTTTTTGATTCTTAGACATAATCAGACGGTGCATAAGATGCAGATCGCGAGGAGATTTGGGCTCGTGCAAGGATCCCTTCACGCTGAACTCGACGCAAATCGAGCAGGAGCGCGGAGTCGAGGCGGTGCCTTGCGCCTCCAACTGGTGCGTCAAAATCATCGAGAGCCAGAGCATTCACAATGGCAAGTGACGAAAATCTCACACGAATATCGATCTGTGAATCACTCTTGTACTAATGATAAAATTCGTTTCTCTTGCGCACAGAATACGGCACGGCGACCGAGAGAAACTGTCTCGGTCGAGGTCCCGACGACAACGAGGAGCGCTGCGCCTACACCAAGTGGAACAACAAAAACGTCTACATGTGCTTCTGCAAAGGCGACCTCTGCAACGGGTCCTCGACGATCGCACTGTCGAGGTCGTTGCTGGCATTCCTGGCGGGCGCCTTTACTCTGCGCTGGCTATTATTATCGTGAGAAATCGTCGCGTTCGTGTCTCATTCTAGATTTTTTTTTCATGTATAACGTCGTCTCTCTCGCGATAAGTTACCTATCGATATAATTGTTGATACATTTATTATCGACTCTTTTTTATGCGCGCGTACTCGATTTTTAATTGACTCGAAATTCGACGTCAGATGACATTCGATGTTTTATACTTGTACTTTTATAGCATTCCGTATCAAATGCTGTATTACGTTTCGACTGCCATTTTACGCTACGTTATGTGAAACTCGACTTTCATACTAATGCGATGAACAAAAAAATATACGATTAATGTTATAATATGAAATATTTCGATTGTATTGTCATGTAATAATATAATGAACGTACAGAGTGCGTTTAGAGATTGTTTAAGTTTTTTTATAAAAAAATTTATATACTATTATTATTTGAACTTATGTACATAAAAACTAGATTATTTTATTATTACATTTTTATTATTATTTTTTAAGACTCATTGTATACCTACAACCTCTTTGTCGTGTTATAATATCGCTTATACAGCATAATGGTTTGGATATTGAAGTGTAGAATATTTAACCCAGGGCTAAAATATTCAACGTATACGACATTGATTAATTTTTTTTACAACGAATCCTATAAAAAAATTAATTCAGTTATTAAATGTAATATAAACGATCACTCCAGCATGGTTGCATACAGCTGTCACCCAGCCATTATCTCCAAAAATTTCGTTTGGCACAGGCAATGGAAAGAAAACCATTCGCATTCGCAAATTACAATGATTATTAATAACGCATCTATAAATAATCAAGTGGCACATCGTTACACAAAAGGGCAATCCTAATACGCCGGGCGATAATAATCGAGCCATGGCGAGCCGGGCCTGAGACTGCTCAGCAGATTGTCGCGCAGGCCGTTCTGGCGACGCTCGGCCTGCAGCCTCAACAGCGCCCGGGTGTGCGGCACGTCGCCGTAGTACAGCTGGCCCCGGCCGTAGATGTAGCTCACCGCTCGCAGCGCCGCGTCGCCCCGCAGCAGCAGCGGATCCGGATAATCTGCGAACGATACAGAGTAGATAAGTAGGCGATTCGATCGAAGAGTTAAATCGAAATTATTTAGATCGCATTAACGATGTACTCACCGAGTCCGTTCGAGAAATCCGGGCTGGAGTATCGATCTTCCGAATCGTAGCTCTCGTCGATCGTCCCGTCGGAGAAGTGAAGGAGTTTCGGCAGTGGAATGATTCGCTGATAGTTGTAATTGACAGGATGATGATACAGATTGTTACCCGATCGAAGATCTGCGAAACGAAATTATCGAAAAGATATATAGAGCAAATTGTATCAACGATTTCGCGGATAAAGAGGTTTCGTCATACCGGTAAACGTCAGGCGGGGAACTATGGCGCCACTATGGCTCCTTGTTCGTCCTACCGACACGTAAGACTGTTGAGAGATTATTCTGTTTCCTAAAAACATATTATTCATCGTCGAACAATCGCGTATGCAAAGCAAGGGAGAGAATCATCGATCAAGCGCGGTGATTGCATTACAATATGAAAAGATAGATTTACCCTCGATGGCGTAGCCGTGCTCCTCGACGTGCGGATGTCGAAGGATCTTCAGATGAAAACGCGCCAGTGGCGATGCCTCGCACATCGTACCGATCGTCAGGCTCGATAGCAGCAGGCTCGTGGCAATTCTCCTCTGCAGGCAAATCGGTGATAATTGTTTATGCAATGGTATATGCATTGAATATTTTAGGTGTACGATTATCGTATCGATCGAGCGCGAGAGGATACATCTTTGATGAGAAACTGTACCGCATTGCAGAATGCGGATATCGTACTGTTAACTCTTGAGGGACGCGCGCGAGGCTCGCTTTTGTATGTTAGCAGTGTCACACACAGCACGCTTTGAACCGTGTTTACCCACCTATTTTCATCGCGTGTGTGCCAGCAGCAGCAGTAGTAGCTGCAACCGGCGAAGACGTTTAAAATTGTATGGGTGCAGGCAAGAAAAGTAAACTAGGACCAAATTGTTCGACAGCTGAATAAAACGGAGAGAAGAAGAGAAAAAAAAAACTAGCTCAGTCGTTACGGCAAATTTAGGTGAAGGTTTCGTGTGCAAAATTAAGTATACTCTAATACGCGAGCTTGGGAAAAGTAACGGCGAGATTCGAGTGTCAGTGCAATTATCTCAGCCCCAGTGTAAAATAGTACCGAATACTAATGAGTGGAGGTAAAAAATGTATTTTCAATTGTTGATTGGTGATTGTAGATACTCGATAGCGATATGTAGTTGAAGAAATCACTTTTACCGATCGAGTGCAGCGAAATCGTGACGATATCTATCTACTTTCCTCGTCATCTTTTTTATCAATTAATTTCTTTCGTCATTCACAGATGTCTTTCGCAGTTTTGATGGCTCGACTGGTGCGCGCGCGTCAACACCTTATAAAAGCGCAATTACTCAATTTGTTTACGCGCGAAATCGCGTACCTACATCGAGGAACGTGTTAGGATCGCTTTGGGCACAAAAAAATGTTATAAGGCATGATTGGCGAATAATGCAGTTCTGGTTTTCCTTCGATATCGAGGCATTAAAAATAAAGAAAGAAACGTTTGTGTAACGTACTCGCGAGTTGCAACTCTCGGTGTTGAATTTTACCGAGAAATCGGTGGTGGCTGCAACTGTATTATAGGTACATCGCATCGTTGCACGTACTCATATACCCAAATGTACATTTTAATTAACTTGCCACGAATGTGGATCGAGCTTTTGTAATCAGTCTCGATTCTCCTTCTCCTCTTATTACCCCTCGAGTTCTTTCTCTCTCTCTCTCTCTGCTTTGTATGTATTATACTGAAAATGGGCTAGAAAACCCATCGAAACGTATTATACACATTGAATACACAGCAGATCTCGCGACGACACACATACATATTATACGATTGGCAAGAAGATTAAGATCGGTATTGTCGGCTCTTTGCCTCTCTTTGCTGTGTTACACAGTTATACAGACGTATATATATATAAAAATACACACACTTCCAATTTCCATTATCGGACGCGCGCGAGAAATGGCTTTTATACGCGTGTGTGTATGTGTGTGTGTAGACCGCCCGGCTAGAGCAGTAATATATCGAAGCACTCGTGACTATTTTATCGGCAACCGATCGATCATCGATACTCGTACGAAGAAAAAAATCTTCGCCGTCGTCGTCGTCGATACACCGACGCACTGCGAGCTTACGCACACATATCGGAGTCGAGCGCACTGCAGGAGTGAAAGTGTACTTACGTGTTACATTACTCCCCGTTATATACATTAGTCTGATTTTTTTTCCGCTGTCTAACATTTAAAGCAACTTAATGTGTGCGCGCATTATAATATATATCTATAACAAGTATGTAGGACGGTGTGTGCCATTCATTAAATGCTAATGTGCGAGGGAGCTACTGCTGCTGCCGTTATACAGCTAGCGAGAAAATCAGATGAGCCATCGATTTTATTCGATCGTACTTTTTTCTCTTGATGCATTAGGGCCTATCGCGTACACATTGGGAGCGAAATACATAGCTCATGTTCGAGCTACATATAAGAATTCCTCGTTGCGAAATTTTATTATACTGCCATGGGCATGTACGTTCGGTACTTTTAACGGGCACATTTAGCAAAAACAACGTGTTTGTATATCCTCAGGGCTTCGCAATGTATAGACGTACGTTGATACTATTTGCACGCCATATTATTTTAACGAAACGTGCGCGTGAATTCTATATCGAAATTTTGATGCCTTATAAGCTCGATTGGCCAAGCAGTGCACACCATAAGCTGGCCGTACCGCTACAGCTGTCGAAAAACGATCAATGCCTAAAATAACAACGCTGTAAGAGAGTTTGGGCCGCGCTGTCGAAGGGCTACGAAGAGGCAAATTTTATGATAGTCACGCAATCGAGACTCGATGCATCGGCACGCGTGTGCATTTATCGCGAGGATTAAATATTTTAGGCGATATTGTATTGCGTGCAGCTCGATTTATAAATTCATTTACACGTTCCGAAAACAGATTTGATGTGTTATTATTATTATTATTTTGTTTTCGTCATCTTCGGCAGATTTTCACTACGTGAGCACGTATACGTTACATACGATTGTGATTTAATTTCCGCCGAGTTTTAATTTTCCTTCGATTATAATAGTCGCGCGATCGGCGCATTCGAATTAATGCCCGGGCAATTAATTATACGATCGAAAAGTGGAATCGGAAGAAGAGAATAAAAATGAAACACGGGGTTGCACTATTGCCTTATATTGAAAAATCGATCCATATCCATATACGTACATAACGGAGCGAGCTTTTCTGCCGCAGACACTCGAAAGATCATATCGCTTGAATCAAGCGAAATTTTCCACTCTTACCCTTCGGCTTTATTGGCACTCTAGTAGGTACACGTAAAAAAAAACTTACCCACATTTTCGTCGTCGTCGTCGTTCGTCGTCGTTGCAGCTACGAACTTTGATTATTGCACTCGTACCCACCTACAAGCACTGCTGAGTAAGTGCAAACAATTTCTCGCTCATCTCTTTCGGCTCCCAATCCTCGGTGGCCCTTTGTGATATAAATATGCACGAGTAGTGTCGAGGAACACAAAAATTCATCCGACGCACATGCCACTGTGCGAAAAGGACTACTACCACCGATACTATTACCGACTTATAAGGCCCCCGTGCCGCTAGTCGCGTGATGCCGCACTGCCGCTGACGAGGCGAGAGATCGAGCGAATTTCGTTGGCGCGCGCGCGGATAAAAGTTCGCCTGTGTACGACGCCGACACACAAGTGGTATATACCATAAAAAGCGGGTGAGGATGGAGAGAGAGAGAGAGAGAGAGAGAGACAGTGCAACAACCACACGTACAAACGTTGTATGCATTGCGCTGCATGATCGGCGGGTGAACGGGAATTAGTGCCGATTGGGCCTCGTTTTTCCAGGTATATCGTACATATAATGCACACACATATCCACACGTAGCGGAGGTATGCCTTTACGGGAGCGTTTGAAGGTCTCTTTCGCATGAATAGTATAGTGCCACTGTTGTGCCCCGTCTCGATTCGTCATCGCATCCTCCTGGTATGATATTCGGTTATCCGACATCTCCGCTATTTTTCTCTGCCCTCGAGCATATGTGAAGCATCGAATTTGCGTATGTAGAACCTATCCTGCTTAAGTTTTCATTTCCTGAGAAATGAAACGCGACGATCGAATGGATCGGGGTTATACTCACATCTAAACGAAGCCGATGTAGAAAATGTATCATCGGCGATCGTTATTACATGGATTTCTGCGCATATGACAGCGGGCGAGCGGAAAAAAGTTATAAGCAGCCTTTGCAAGATGAAAAAACAACCAGGAAAATTATGAATATAAGGGCTAGAGCATGTTTTGTTCCTTCCAAAGAACATACATGTAATTTCAATGTTAACCAATTCTAGGTACAACCTTACATTTGGACTTCGGTAGAATTATAATCCATGAATTTATATAATTTTTATCGCAGCCTCGCTAGACAGCATGTGTTTTATAATTGTGAGCTATTTATTAAATTTGAAATAACTTTATTATATAATTTATGCAAAGAAGTATGTTTAATTTTATATTTATTTTTACAACGAAGTTTCGTATGCAAATTCGTGTACACAAAATCCTGGAGATTCTCGAGCTTTTTTAACAATAATCATCATTTTTTAAATAAATAGTCAAACTTTCGTTTTTAATAAATATATATGCTCGTTAAGTACACATATTGAGTACGCAAATTTGAATTTCGCTAACCCAATTTAACAAAACAAAAACAAAATCAAGTACAAACATTAAGATTATTTTGGTTTTGGGGCGACGATTTGAAGTTTTTGAACACCAGCTGTTTGAACACCAGCTTTTTGAACACCAGCTCTTTGAACACCAGCTCTTTGAACACCAACTTTTCGGGGCCCAAAAAGTGCGTCCAATATTCTTCCTGGTTCGGCATCAGCGACGGCAAACAGCATTAGACAAGCTGAATTTAAGGTATACATTTTTGAAAATATAATTATCTCAATTGTATAAGATATACGTTACTGTACCTGCCACGAGAAGTAGAATAGGTGAAGAGAATTTGAACATTTTTCTGTTTACGAGCTGTTGTTTACGAAAAAATTGTTCGAGCTCGTACAACAAACTGCTTTTATACTACGATCATGTTTAACTACTGCGCAAAAATATTACTGTACTTTTATAATAAAATTTTACGACCAGTACATTATTCGACTAACCGCTTGATTACATATTAAAATGTTTAATTAACAAAGCCAATTTACAATGGTAGAAAACGACCGTCGACGTTATTTTTAATAAGCAAATCTAATTGAATTCAAATCGATCGATGATTATGTGTCTCAAATATTCAAAGAAAAAAAATCAGTAAAACATGAAAAACATTCTACATCTATTCCATGAAGAATTTGAAGGAAAAAAGTTTGTCACTCACTTATATGATAGTATTTATTTTTTTCTTAATGTATTTTTCCGATGTACCATATGGTTATTTATGTATTGGCCGGAAAACCATTTTCATTGCTCAGTCGACGCGATAATGCGTTCAAAAGTTTGCTGAAAATCGTCGTAACGCTCGGAAAAATCTTCGCGATGAATTGCCTTATTTACTTTAGATCGATATTTTTTTTTTGCTTTTTATTTGCACCAATTTTCGCGGATATCATAAATTAATCTTCGCTCACCAGTATCTAGAGCTTTGATCTTTTTTGATTTTTTTTTTATCTGTCGCGCAATCTGGAAGAGCACAAAAAAAAGCGAAAAAGAACAAGCAGAAAAAAGTCGTGCTTACAGCACGTGTTTAACAGTGAAACCTTGGATTCTTTTTTTGTTACATTTGTAAATGACCAATTCGCAAAAGTATCCGCAAAATCGTTATAGGGGGGACACACGATTGTTAGCCGGGGTAATAAAAACGGCCGATAAAAGTCCACATTTTTTTCTACCTTTTGAGAATCGTCTGCGAATATTGAAATTCGAGATCGATAAACAGCGATATCTCGTGCACCGAAAGATATTTGAAAATTCATGTCAAGTGAATAAAAAAAAAAAAAAAAATGCGAACATCAAGACAATTTCGGTATAAGTGCAGACCATGATTTTTCGCGTCACGAAAAATATTGCTCAATTTTTCCCCCTTACTGGCCAACCGTTCCTGCGGGAGGCGCACACTGTCATTTTTCATCCTCGTGCCGCGTACACTTTGTACGAGTCATACTCGTATATCGCAGCTTTATGTAATCGTTCTCGCGCTCGCATCGCGATCATCGTGCATATAAGCACATTATACCTCGTGCACGTATAGGTACATAGGAGGAACAAGAGGAAGAAAAAGGAGTATAACTCGAGAGCGCGCGCCGAGGGGGGTGTTGCTGCTGCGCACCTGTGCGTCGTGTGTGCAAGATGAAGATGTAAGAAGAGGAAGGCTAAAAAAAAGCTCGCGCTTACAAAGCTGTATGCTTGTGTGTATGGCGATCATCGTGTATTATAATATAAGCGTGTGCCTTGTGCTGCTCTCGACTTGAGAACAAGCGACACACACACACACACATACTAAGCGTATGGGACACAATACGCCGCGATGAAAGAATAAAAAGAGAAGAAGAAAAAAATCCCCGCGCATAAACCCTTTCGCTCCCCTTTTTTGCCCTAGCTCATGACGCTCACTCTTACCCGGGAGCGCATTCAACAATTATCGGCTAGGCGCGGACTCCTCTCTCTCTCTCTGGCCACTGGAAAAACTAAAGAGCAGCACGTGTATATATGTATGCTGCAGCACGAGACAGAGATTGCAAGCTCGCTCTACGTTCGCGTGAGGGTGTGTGTGTGCAGTATAACACACACCTATAAGCGGAGCCTGTGCAGCCTCTGATCGCCTACTGCGCACATATATACATATACGCGCGCGCGAGAGAGGGTTCAAAAACCTCTCTGGACCGCTGTGACTGCTGTACACGCATATACAAGCGCGCTCGCAATATGTATACATTTGCGTGTGTGTGGGTGTGTGGGTATGCTTTTAGCAGGAGGGTGGCTGCCGCTGCCTCTCGCTGGGACTCGACTCGTTCTGTATACATATACACATGCAAGAGAGGTAGCGGAGAGAAGCGCAAGCGCGCAGCCTCCCAGCAGCCAGCAGCAGCAGAATTTTCTCTTATCGCGCGCGCTCTATTACTCGTCGGGCGCAGGCACAGCGCACAGATCGTTGCCGGCTGTTGTGCAGGGCAGCAGCAGCAGTAGCCCTGCCAGCCGCTCTGCAGAGGCCTCACCCGCTCACGCGCACACACAGACGAGCAGAGAGAGAGAGAGAGAGCCTCCTTCAGGCCTATAACACGGAAAATTATATCGCTCGTATTGCCCTCCGTGCACAAATTCTCGACGATTTCGTCTCGTTGCAGTGATACGGTTTTAATATCGCTTTTATACTACGCGCACTTTTGATAAACGAACGAAAGAAAATCGAGAGCCTAAACATTTTTTTTAATCTCGGCTTTGTTCGGTAAACACAAAAACGTAGAGTCGACGTTAAAACGAGGAAGTGAGGGTCGGAGATGAGTTTTACAACGGCGGCGACGACGTCGTTGCGTCGCGAAGACAACAACAACAACAACGACGACGGGGAAGCCGTTGTGTCAGGCCAGCATCAACTACATCGATCGCGCTCTCGAGATGGCAACGACGACGACAACGCACCACGACAGCGACGACGACTGGAAAAATAAGATTTTCACCCGTGTGTATCGAGCAGGCAGTCGAGCAAGCAGCTGAGGCGGAGGTGGATGAGAGGAGAAGGAGGAAGAGGAGGAAGGAAGGAGGGAAACGGCCAGGCCTGCTCCTAACTTTTCATCCGTTGCCCTCTCTCAAGCACGAGTTACGCCGTACGTCTCGCATAAAATATATATTTTTATATGTATAGAAAATACTTCGCGCCTATGTATTAACCCGTTGAATCAGTATACTATAAAATATTTCCATTCGGAGAAGAGCCGCCGAGCGAGCCAAACTTTTATCGATAATCGGGAGGATCATATTTTTTGGCAGCGCGTTCGCATGCGTCCGGTAATGTGCATGCGAAGGGTTGATGCATGCCTGTCGTTACGCGATTACGCGTTTTATTTACAACGCGAACAGGCGCCGCTGGACGTTGCATGATGCATGTGCGTATACGTGAATGCGTACATATACCTGCATGCGAAAGCTGCCGGCGAGTAAAACTGCGAAGAGCTACCTACTATTATACTGCAGATGTGGAGCGCGGCGCGCTACTCGCAGAGCTTTGCGCTTTCGGAATTCAAAAGGGGTGGGTAGGTCACTAATGTATGTACACACGTACGCGATATATGTATATGCGTATAAACGTGTACGTATACACGCGTGTGCGGATGCATATAATACCGCGAAAATATAGATGAGTGACCGAGTACATGTGTGCGCGCGGTGTGTGTTTTATGTGCTGCGGCAAGCGCATTTTTTTCCTTCTTTCTTTTTTAATGATGCTACACTGCCGCGCGCGTGAACGAGAATAACATTCAACGATGAAAAAATATCGCTTTTACACGAATCTTTTTTAATGAATGAGATTCGCGCGGTGTGAATGAGAGAAAAAAGAAGCGTACTTTTAAAGCTCCAATTGCGGATTTTTTCAAATTGACCTCGTTAATAAAGATCGCGTCTTCGCTGTTAATCTTAAATTATAGTTCGTGCTTTTCTTTGCCCGTGGTCACCGATTCGTGTACGTTATACTACTTTTTTTTACAGGCTGACTCGGCTCGGGCGACCATGACTGCCCAAGCGGAAAGCATTAAAATTTTAAACAAAACTTTTTCCATGCAAGAGGAGTTCGAGCTGCTCGAACAGTTTGAAGTAAGTTTTCAGCTGCGCGCGCGAACGTTTTATCGCGTATACTACCGAGCTTTCCTCGCCGCGCATTAACGACGGGTGTCAAAATAATCTTTTTTTTCTTTTTATTGTTCCGATGATACATCGTAGGAATGCGAGCAAAACATTCTGGAAACGTTGATCGTGAACGAGGAAGATATGGATAACGATGACGACGACGAAGACGACGATGGCACGGGCATGGAGGAGGTGGTTCTCAGCGACGAATTAATCGGCGAGTTGACCGACGTTACGCTGCCTAACGGCGAGCGAACGTTCGTCACGAAAAATCTCGAGTCTAACGGTATGAAATGTATTAATTCACAAGAAGAACAATGAGAAAAATATTACTAATATAACTTAACAGTTAAGAAATATCTTTAATGTTTTTTTTATAATATCATAACTTTAATTATAACCAAATCTTTTTCTCAGTAAACGATTCTTTTTACTTATTTCGTTTCTATTTTTTCTCTGGTTTTCTGTAGTCGAAGACGAGAGAGAAGAGGACGAGCTGAGCCTCCACGACGACGACGATTCGACTCTGGTCTTACGCGACATAAGCGGCCTCAACGACGGCAACATAATCGAATTACAGGTCGACTCGACGGACGAGACCTGTTTGATCGACGACGGCCGCGTTTATTCGCAGTTAAGGCTAGACGATGGCAACGTCGTCTACATCGTCAGGGAGGACGAAACGTCAAAAGACGCCACCGAGTCTTTCGATCAACAACAACAACAACAACAACAGCCACAAGAATCAACGACAACGATAGAAACGACGGAGGTGGAGGAGGAAGAAGAGCAACCAATCGTTATCCAAGTTGCAGAATCAGAAGTAGTGGTAGCAGGAGAAATCAATAATAGTGAGATTAACGATCAGTCAATCAATGGCCTAGATTTATCCCCTATCAATAACGTAACTAGTCATAAGATAAAGCATAATAATCAAACGACCCTAGACAAGAGCCGTCGTAATGCGCCTAATGGTAACTGTAAAATTAGCCGAATTAACGCGAGTAGTAACGACGGAGGCAGCGGTAGTAGCAGTAGTGGTAGCATCGTCGCGATAAGCGATAAGCCGAGCTGCCGAGATTATAATACAAGAGACGATGACAAAGAGAAAAACGACGAAGATTACGACGAAGAGAGAGAAGTGGCTGCTGCTGAGTCAACGGCAGCAACAACAGCAGCGGCGGCGGCGAAGAAAAAGCCGTTCTCGTGCGAGGCCTCGAACTGCCGCAAGACCTTCCCGACCTACTACAGCCTGAAGGCGCACCTGCGCACCCACAGCGACGAGAAGCCGTTCAAGTGCAGCGAGGAGGAGTGCGACAAGCGCTTCAAGACCTCGGGCGACCTCACCAAGCACGTGAGGACGCACACCGGCGAGCGACCGTTCGTCTGCCCGTTCGAGGGCTGCGGCAGGTCCTTCACCACGAGCAACATCAGAAAGGTGCGAGATTCATCGATGCGATCGATTGCGGTCATGATGACTCTTTAAAATACGTAACGTAACGATTGTTATCGCAGGTACACGTGAGGACGCACACGGGCGAGCGTCCGTTCAAGTGCAAGCATCCCAAGTGCGGCAAGGCCTTCGCCAGCCTGACCAACTACAAGAATCACGTGCGCATCCACTCGGGCGAAAAACCCTACATCTGCATGATGAACAATTGCGGCCGGCGTTTCACCGAGTACTCGAGCCTCTACAAGCACAATCTGGTGCACAAGGAGGACAAGCCCTACGAGTGCGACGTCTGCCGTCGACAGTATCGCCAGAACAGCACGCTGTCGCTGCACAAAAGGACGGCTCACAAGATCGTCGTCGCCGGAGTCGGAGCTGCTGCTGCGGCGAACAATAACAACGACGTGGCGGACGCGTCCTCCACGACGATAGCCAGCAGCGATGCCAAGAAGGAGTTGGAGAAAAATCTGAATCAGAGCTTGGTGGAGGACGACGAGATCATGTTCGAGAAACTTTTGGACAGTTCGCAGGACATGATTATCAGTCACGCGTCCAAGGTTCGGGGTCAATCTTGTTTTCTTTTTTTATGAACGTTCGATTGACAATAATGACTTAATGCTTTTGTTGTTTTTTTTATCATAGGAGAACAACTATTTCGAAAACGGTCAAGATCAGCTGTTCGATTATCTAGTCGAAGACTCGGATAGTCTATTGACCCAGTCAATGATAGATCCCAGTCAATTGATATCCCTGGATGTAAGTTGTGCAGCAATATTTCTATAATCATCGAGCTAATTTTTTTTTCGTTCTTTGTTTATGTAGATGCCCGACTGTTTCAACGACAAGGCCGAGCGCGACAATCCCATCGACGTGGCCCTAGACGAATTGAGTCGAAAACACGGCAACGTCGAGTTCAAGTGGATCAATCGATTTTGAACAACAACAACAACAACAACAACAAACACGAACGAGCTTCATATTCACAATCAATCAAAAAAATCAAGACACCATACGCATTCGTCGCGGTAGTCGTGAAATGTATTTTAATTGAAAACCAAAGAAAAAAATGATCTGTTTTATATAGACGAACACGAGCGTGTACGATCTTTCACGATGTATACGCCATAAAGAATAGCCAAGATGAAAGTAACGAAATTCTAAACTACTTCATACTACTTTTTTGATTATAAATATAGATAGAATTTTAATATATAACATAGAGAAGAAAAATGTTTTCACTTTTGAATAATTTTAATAAACTGCAATGGATAATGATGTCTTCGATGTAATTTTAAAAGAACAAAAAACGAAAACTTTTTGTAATTTGCCCTTTGTAAGTATTTTGAACAAAAAAAATATATATACATCGCTCTATTTCCAAAGGCGTAAAACGCAAGCCTGAGTTAATGTGTGCATTCATTGAAGCAAATTCGATATATTCCCAATATAACGCATGCACAAGGGCCTGCTCAGTCGAGTAACTTTGCACTTGGCAAGGGGTAGGTATATAATTTTGAATTTATTAGATCGTGAAAAGTATCGATGCTTTTCGCATCGTGCATAAATCGAGTCACGCAACGTATATTTTGCCCGACTCGAGCTAATCCTTTCCCATATCTTCCCCCGTGGTTTTTTCTTTGTCTTCTCTTTTGACTTTTATTCAACTTTTTGATTGAAATCGTGCATGGGAAGACGTTGCGAGGATTTTCTTATAGTACAGAGTTGAACGCAGCAAAGTTTTATGGCATTTCGTGTGCAACGTTTATCTGCGTGTATTGCACGACGCCACTGCGTACATTGGAATTTTTGAACGAAAAAAAGCAAAAAAGTGAATCGTGTTCATCGCTCATCAACTTTCGAAGACTTTTCAAAACTTTGACACATTCGAGTACTACTGCGTTACGAAGCAATTATGATCGTGATTAAAATTTACTCGTTGAATTGACAAGTTGATTAGCGCGTAGAAGATCGCCGGTTTTGATAATTATTGTTCACCTTGCATAAAGTAAATTTTATTTTTGACAATTTACGACAAACGAAAAAAATTCTTCCTCCAAATAAAATACAAAAAAGAGCGCGTCTTGATCGGATTCGACGTCGTTTTTTTGTAAGTATATGAACCGAATTATATAATAATTATGAATCGGTAATCATTTTGCAATTCTCACAGCACACCCTCGCGTCAACGCATTGCATTATTCAAATATGGAAACGCTCAACGACGACATCTGGACTCGATATTAAATTTAGATTAATGTCAATAATTACCGACAGAATATTTTAAATTATAAAGCGCACACACACGATCGGTCGCGTGAACAAAAATGTGACACATTTGATAATCGAATTCGTGCGTCGATGATTATGTGCGAAAAGGAAACAAATCGCATGGGACTCGGGATAGACGTACAAACAATTTGTCACTCGGAATCATTAGAAATCGAGGAAAACATAAGTCCAAGGCCTTGGATTCGACGAGTTTTCTATAAACGCCACATGCAACACGACCGCCAAATGGGTTTTGCGCGCACATGGATATTATGGTATAGTTTACCTGTGTGTAAAAGGCTCTCTCGTGTGTACAGTAGGGTGTCCGTTATTTCCCAAACGTTAAAAATCCTTGCTCCAGAAGTTTAGATCACTTCTTTGTGATATAAAAACATGATTTGTACGGTTTATAACCCATAGGCACAGGTTAAAACCGTGCCTATAAATTAAAGTCGATATTTGCATTTAACCCATTAGCTCACAGAATGTAGGACTTTAAGGTGGGATTTTTTCCATGTTTTGAGCTTTAGAAAAACGTTGCAAGTACATAATTTGATGTAAAATTTAATTCCCTTTCCAAATCAGGGCTCAGATTTGAAAACCAATGCGTAGTTCAAAAGTTATGATCGTTTAAACGAAAAATTCTGTGCAAAACATGACAAATTCATACGTTTTTTCATGTTCAAACAAGCATAACTTTTGAACTATGCATTGGATCTCAAATCTGAGCCCGGATTTGGAAAGGGCATTAAATTTTACGCCAAATTATATATTTGCGAAGTTTTTCACAAACGCGAAACATGGTAAAAATCCTACTTCAAAGCAATGCGCGACAGTTGCTTCGTAGCGCAGTGTACCGCGCAGCCCAGAATTTTACGTTTTCACGCGTTCGTTGCTGTATTTCAATAAATAATAATCATTTTCACACTCTGAAAACTAGCATATCGATAGGAAATTTCCTCAGCTTTCAATTAAAACTATCTGAAAAAATCTTAAAAATACCGTTTTAGAGATATTCAACTTTGAAGGTTTTCCGACGATTTTTCCGGAGAAAGAGGAAAAATTTCGGAAATCTGACCTTACCATAGGAAAGCTGAGATAATTTCCCATCGAAATGATATGTTACCTTTTTTCTTTTAGGTGCATTTGGGTGCTGTTACAGAGAGTTAGAAATTGAGCAATTTCGCCTCATAACGCCGTGCGGGCCTCGCGCTAGAAAACTTAACTCTGATACCTTAAATGTTTAGATAAGTTCAAAGCTTATCACCAAAGGATTTATACGATCCGAAAAAAGATCCAATGTTTTTATAGTAAAATTTAATGCTCTTTCCAAATCCGGGCTCAGATTTAAGATCCAATGCATAGTACAAAAGTTATGCTCGTTTGAACATGAAAAACGTATGAATTTGTGATGTTTTGCACAGAATTTTTCGTTTAAACGATCATAACTTTTGAACTACGCATTGGTTTTTAAATCTGAGCCCGGATTTGGAAAGGGAATTAAATTCTACATCAAATTATGTACTTGCAAAGTTTTTCTAAAGCTTAAAACATGGAAAAAATCCTATCTTAAAGTCCTACATTATGTGAGTTAATGGGTTAAATGCAAATATCGACTTTAATTTATAGGCACGGTTTTAACCTGTGCCTATGGGTTATAAACCGTACAAATCATGTTTTTATATCACAAAGAAGTGATCTAAACTTCTGGAGCAAGGATTTTTAACGTTTGGGAAATAACGGACACCCTAGTGTACAGCCAAGACATCGAGCTGGATTAATAATATTATTCTTCCGTTTTGCGTTATGTGTATTACGTATGCAAAGATATTTTAATCCTTTCGGTAAGCTTATCTCGTACGTGCGCAAGCGCTTATTTTACTCGCTCAGCCGAGCAATTAATAAAAACGAATAATAGAAAATGTGTACAATTAATAAGAATGAAAAATTCCGTTTGCTTTGCATTTGTTTTTCTTCTCTCTCTCTCGTTGCTTCATTTACCTCGTTATGTTGATATCGTCGTCGTCGATGCAACAACAATTTTTTAGATCGTGGAAAATTAGAAAAAGAGAGAGGAAACGACGCGAGATTAGCAAATGATTTTACACAATTCAACGTACTACATACGATACGCGACCGAAAAGTCGAGGAGTTCACGATCGACAATGAGGTCGTCGATCTCTCGCGAGACAATGTGTATACTCGAACGAAAATATATAGACGTCGATATATTTAAGCTCGCCGCCGCGCCAGTCGATAAATATCAGGAATAACATTTGACAAAAAAATTTTTATAAAATAAACTCGAAGGATGGCGGAAAAGAAGAAAACTGTGCCATTGAGTGCGGCCAACGACACTATCACAGCGCGACACTAAGAACAATAAATATATACGCGCGATCTGCAAAACAATGATTCCTTCGCTCGCTTAAAAGGCTCCGCGCGCGGAAGGAAAACTTTTCAGCTATCCGTTCTTAATTTTTTTTTCTCTGCGTCAACCCGTTCGCGCGCAGGAGCGGATGTACAACGAGGAGTGGACGCCATAAATTAGTTTTTTTTTTCTTCTTTTTCTTCCTTTTTGACTCATCGAGGAATTTATGATGTTACTAATACACCGACGACGACAACTAAATGTATATAAATTGCGCAACCCATCGATTTGTCATATTTTCCTCTACGTAAAAGCTCTTCTTCTCGCGGACACATCGTTGTTGGTGAGCGAGGAAGTGAGATAATTGTTTGCGCCGTGCCTACATACACGCACACACACTTTAACTTGCTTTGACCGATTGATGAACGGCCTCTCGTTTAACAATAAATATATCGTTTGTACGTTGCTTTACCGTATAAAGTCAATGATAATGTCGAATATATATTATAAGTATTATTATATATGTATGTGTGTGACTCGGAGAGTCACCTGCGCTGATGAAATTTCATTAGCCACGCTACGTTTAAGCTCTTACGTTTTTTCCTCTCACGAGTATCGATACGACGTCGATCGATTCGTAAGAAAAACGTGTGTGTGCGCGCGCGAAGACACATTGTTTTGCCGTTACAATTAATTTATAGATATTAATTATTGATCAGGAAGCGCATTAATTCTTCATATGTATGCATGTGCGAGCAACTCGCGAGCTCGAGTTATGAATAACTCGGCGTTATTTTTTTTTTTTTTCTTTATTTGCGCGATGGAAAATTTGTCCAAGTGTGCAAAAAAATGTACACACATATAATATACGCAGACAGACAGAATGTTATGTACGTAAATTCGCAATTGTCATATATTTATCTCGCGGGGTTTACGATGACTAATAATTGTCATGTGTAAACACAGCATAATTCGGAATTTTGGAATAACTTTCGGAAGTTTGATCTTGCGGCGCGCACACACCTGACTCGCTGCGTTGCCGCCGCCGCAGCCGATCGCTCCTTTTAAAGATATGTATTCGAACGATTTATTAATCGGTTATATTTGCTTGTGTACACGCCAGTCGCGGCCGGGCGATATTATGTGTAAGTACATGCATACAAACGATAAGTGTATATATAACACATGCTTATATGGTGATGATACACATATTTATAGCAAAACGTGAGAGTGGGTGAAACGTTTATTAATATAAATTACAGCATATGTAGTACAAAGTAAAATTAGGTCTTGTTCGTTGTAACATTTCTTTTGTATAGATAACGATGTTAATCGAGCTTCAGAATAGAGTATACATTTTACATATTACACGACGAAATAAAATCGGTATAGCCGATGATGACACTCAATAATCTATATCGTTGTGCAGCGAACTTCGACGAACTACTTTTCACGAAAACTCGCTAGCGGAATCGAATGGCATCATCGTCGATACAAATCGTTGTTTTTTTCCCGATAAGCTCGAATCGTTTCGCAGCATCATTATTGTGTATTTGCGTTACCGTTATAGATATAGCACTAATAACAAATAATCCGAACGACTTTAAAGAGAAAATTTGATCGTGCATTAAGGCGACGGCGGGCATTTGTGATCATCATTATCAAATATATATAACAAAGGGATCATTGAATGTGTTATAGATACATGCGAATACAGCCGCGATCGTTCCGAGAAAATAAAATTGACCGATCGTCGGAATTAATTTGTGAGAGAATTGAAATATATCGCTCGATACGCCAGGATATACGATATACTGTTCATTGAAAATTGAACAATTAGATCCCTTCACGAGCTGTATGCATATGAATGAAATCAACGCTCGAAGATAAAAGCGTACGAGCCGCGCGAAAGGGGGCTCGTCTCTTCCTCGTCGTCAATAATGTAATTCGCACCTTTTTCGACTTGTTTTTTTCCTTTATCGCGTGGTACATGCGTAAGAGTTCGAGAAGTTACCAACGTAATGCGAGCGACGCGCGAAAGGCTCAAGCCCAAAACTCTTAATGCAACGACCTTTTGTATTTGCACGGGTATCTACGTGCATTCGCATGCGTGTACAATATTATATGCGCCTATTTGCTCGTGACTGCGTCTCACTGACCAACACACGCGACCATTTACATGTTCGTGATTGTGTATTGGCTCGCACACACGCACACATATAAGTATAAACCGATCACATGTTTATTTACAATAATTGAATTAACAGGTGCGCTTTTGCGCACACGCGGCCACGTGCAGTAACGCGCGCGAGAGCTTATTTTTCATCGAGAGACGGTGAGAGCAAGAGAGAGAGAAAAATTTGATCGCACTTGAACCTCAACTCTCTCGTGCGCGCCTGCACCTTGTTTAGTAAATACGCTAATGGTTAAAGTCACCACAAGATACAGAAGCTAGCTTTGAATGTCAAGTGCTAACGCCAATTAGATGAAAATTAATCAGCCCTCCAAGCGATACTTCGCTTCAATGCTCTTCTAGTTAAGAATGAAAAAGGATGAATTCAATGAAGATTTAATGTAAAATCCAACATAAAATTTAAAGTGAACGATATTGAATTTTATTAAAAGGCACCTTTGAGTTAAATATTAGTTGAAAATTATGGTATCAACAGTGATTTATTTCACATACGTTATTGTTAAAGCGAAACTGAACAAAAAAGATTGGATTTTGTGTTGAAATTTGAAAATTTTGACTAAAATAGCAAAAAAAATTCATGAGAATTCAATCACAATTGAAGCCAGCATCCCCCACTAGATGGCGAGTATCTTTATATGTAAATCTGCAAGTATCAAAGTCAAAATAATTATATAACTCAAATCATGGTTTTGAAAAGTGTACAATCTTCGTGTATACGTTTATGACTTTTTCAAAGCATGGCCTTGAATGAATTGCTTAATTTGAGATTTTGGTCTAATTGATTATAATCATTGTTCTTCCTCTCTTTCTGATTACCGGAAAAATAAGCGGAAGCATAAGTATACTGCATTTTTATTAAATTCAATTGATTGCTTTCAGGAGATAGCGAGACTGAGGTGAATCGATGATATTTCGAAAAATTATATGAATATCTAGTAAATATCTTTATCTCTACAAATTACTTAGAGTTGAAGAAATTGTTAAGCCTAGATACAGATTTTAAGAAATCGTTATATTCTTATGGGTGCATATCTGAAGTAATAAGAATAAGCGCGTGATGAGTAGAAGATTAAAATAATTACATGAAAATTAATGTAAAGATGGAAGAAACTTTATCGTTTTACGTATAAGAATCTACTTTTATGTAAAATAATGAAAGTAATAATTAAATTGAAATATAAATAATTGTCGCCCCATTTCCAAAATCTGTTGACGTCCAGAAAACGATATGAAAAGGGATTGTGCGCCTAGCTCGACGTTTTCGCGCACGTGGGCTGTCCACGCGTTCTCGATGCGTCTCGAGATTCGCGTCGTTGAGCGATCGCTGTCGCGCTCGCACACGTTTTTCTTTCATTATTCCACTACGCGTCTTTGCGTCGTTGTATGGATCTCGATCAGAGACGAAAAATAAAAAAATACACGAGCGCCAATAAAATATTTCTGATTACAATTATAAATACCGGACGATCTCGGCTGCGAAGCGCAGCAATCGAGAGACGATCGCGAGCGCGTGGATGGTAATTCGAAAAATCGTGATTACTGCCGCGACTTTCGATCATTGAGGGACGATATTATATCGCGTGGTCTAGCAACGCGGCAGGATATTTTTTTTTGCGCACAAACAACTTTCAAACGCACACGACTCGCACTTTTTTTCACTGCGGAGAAAGAAAGAAAAAATGATACACTCCTATACAAATTCACGATCGAAATAATATAAGGCCGACGCGCACATTCGCACCGAGATGCGCAATACAATAAAATGAACTGCTGAGACTGCCCCAGCGGCGAATACACGTTATATTATTATTATATATACGGCGAGATATAAATATTTACAAGTAACATTTAATACGGATGTATCATTTCTAATTTCTCATTTGATAAATACATTGTATTGTACCACGTGTCCAGTGTCCCCGCACGTCTGCTCGTGTGTACATAAAATTTTCACACTCACATGCAGAGAAAGAGTGAAAAAAGAGGGAGAAAGAGATAGATTGCGCGCGTGATGCACTTAACTCGTAGTATAATACGTTTGCTTGATGCAATTTCAAGAATTTTTTTTTCTCTCTCTCTCCTTTCTTATTGTTATGATCTGTGTGTAAGTAAATACCTACACTCTCGCCGATGAGGTACATATCACAGCTCGGGCAATGTAAACAATATACTCCGGGCGCACGTGTCACGATTGTAATGCTTTATATTGTTATGAATTGTATATATTTTGTTGCACTTCGTCGCGTAAATCGTTTGAAAAGAAAATACGGTCTTTTGACGTACAACCCTAATGGTCTTAAACCGAAAACCTTTCAATTTTTCTTCATGGAATCACGTGCCAATCGAATATTTTAATGAGGCATTGTGCAAATTATATACTTTCACGCAAGCAATAGATAAATATAACGTTTTGGAAGAAACCCGACCTCTCTCTCGGTCGAATTTATTTCAATGCATAATTACACCCGATTAATAGGGGAAAAATTCGCGTGATAACGAATTGCCTCTCCACCACTCGCGGCTATTAATATGTATACATGATATATAAACGATGCCTACTATGATCTAATGACCAATGCACTGTATCTCGCTTGCCACCGCGGATCGTAAGTCAAGGTTGTGGTCGTGCCGTTGTCATCGCCGTCGTTGGCTGGCTCGGCCCACTTGGCCCAGTTGAAAAACGATCGAAAAAAATTTTTTTTTTACAGTAATCTTTATCTTTTTTTCTCTCTCTCTCTCTCCTCCTTCGCTTAGAGATATTATATGTATATTAAAATTTCGTACGCGCGTGTGTGATTATGTGCGCCTCGTAACAAGTGAGTAAGTGAGAGTGCGCAAATGAGTGAGGGAGAGACAGAGACAAACATCTCCATCAGAAGTTCAGAGTCGTCGTCGTCGTCGTCGTCGTCGTCATCGTCAGAGCCGAGGCAATATATATCCCACTCTATTGCGAGTATAACGATAAGAAGCGCCGTATCTGTACCGGCTCGCGACAGTATTGCTCGAGTAGCGATCGGCTCACATACACAAAACACACCACAGAGGCAGTGTGCCTCGAATTATTGTGAATCGAACGGCAACAGCAATAGCAGAAGCAACATTGTAACATCGTTGCCAAAGTGTTGTAGTTACTGTTCTCTATAAACATCTTCGTTTTTTTCTTCGATCGAGCAAAGGCTTGGAAGTTGAAAAAAATGACTTCGTGACGAAAAGTTCAGTTTCCAACCCCGCAGTCGTCTTTCGAAGCTACATTCGATTAAAAAAAGAAACGCATAAGTATCAGGTCGACGAACAAGGCCAGCCGCCACGATGAAGGCGAAAGAGCTGGTTCACAAGTGGTACGAGAAGCTGCCCAGTCCGATAAACTGCTGGGACTGGCTGTGCAACAAGTTCCCCAAGACCTATCCGTTCATGTGCTTCATGTTTTATTTGGCAATCGGCTCCTCGGTGTACTTCTGGATCGAGTACGGGCCCGAGCAGGAGAAAATCGCCGAGGAACTGGTGAAGCGCAAAAACTTTACAGGTAATAATGACATTTTGATTAATTTTTATCATATCGTACGTGATGAAGCGCGGTGCGCATACATATTCGATTATAGCTCGTCGAGGCCTCGGAGTGAGATTGGGGTACACTGCAATTCGCCGATATAAGCAAAAAAATCCTGAATGAACTCTTTCAGCATCTTGTCATTTTCGTCAATGATTCGCCCGTCCACCCATAAATACAATTTTTGAATCGACGGGAATCATCGATGAAAGCGCTAAGCCGTGCGTGTTTGCCTGTGTGTTTACGAGCTCTCTCGCGCGGCGCGCACATGCGTGTATATCGTATACGCTAAGTGTGTGCAGACACGCGCCTCGCAGCGACACACGCGTGCTGCTGCTGCTGCTGCTGTACGCACATTATTCGTTAACGATTTGTATTCTTATGATTGTCTGCTATATAGCAACAGGTGCATTTACGAATTTTTGACACTTTGGCCCGAGCGCGCGCGCGCACGCGCTTACGATGAAATTTGTCGCGACGCGTGTGACATAATAAAAAAAGAAAAGAAATATCATTCGTTTTGTATTTTTAATATAGACATATTGTAACGTTGTGTTTGTTTTGTCATTAAGATCGCGGGGTCATATAGCGTATATCGGAGTCGTGTGCGGCCCCCTCGACCGAAAAAGCGAAAAAAAAAACAAGAGCTTCGAATTATATAATTTGAGCATTCACAGAGATCGATATGCGAATTCAATAGTTTATAATACAGTCCCAGTTTCTGTATACCGATCACTGATCGATACGTGCGAATTACGCGTGATTGCATAATTTCGGCACGTTCCGTACATATAAGCAACAATTAAATTTCATTCATGGTCTCTCTCGCTCTATCTCGTGCATGCGTTTATCGCGATACGCGCTAATTGAGTCGCTCGTTGCTTAGTTGACGCGCAGCTTTTCGGCACTGATAATATTCGTCTCTTCGTCGTTTCGAAAAACTTTACTCATTCATTCATGACTACACTCGTATAGCATCCATGCCCAACCGGCTTTATACTTCCGCGTAGTTGATCTTTAATCATGATTCGATTCTGACAATACACACTAATCACGACCAACTGAGAACGTCGCATTAGCGTAAACGACACGTATTACGCGCGTGAAATTGAAAAATTCCATGTTCGCTTTTTTTCCCTCTTTTCTTTTCTCGCATTGATCGTGGCGCGTCGCCGCCGCCGACGTGCGTTATCGTCTCCTTCTTTGACTCTCGATAAAGTTATTGTTATGATTGAATTTTCAATAATAATAATAAGAATGACAATAGTATATGCAATGTACAACTCAGATTGCCAGAATCGGAAAGAAAATTTGGACGCTCTCTTAGAAAAGCATCATGAAGCTTCCTGCTATCCTTCGCAATAGCTCGTCGCAAGCTCGAGCGAATCGGTTGAATCTCTCTCTCTCTCTCTCTCTCTCTCTCTCGCATGCAATTTACGTATAGTTCGGTGCACGCGGGGTACCGCGAAAAATTCACGTGTATTACGCGTCTCAATTGACTCCGCGTTATATTTATATACGTGCTCGTAGGCACGCGGGTGTATACATATCGCGCAGACGAGGACACAATCGTTTTTCGCTCTAAGCAATCGGTTCTTCTTCTAATTTTTCTTCGCGCTAACCGATATTATACACAGACATAGACAGACACACACGCATACACACACTAAATGTCCAGAACAGCGGCTACGTCGCGCGCGTATAATAAGTCGTCGAAGTCAATTATCGAATTATCGGCTCTCTCTATATATCTATGAGCGCGTCTATATATGTGTATCGCTATATGCATATCAGCGACTAACGAATGTATACTGTACATGTGCGTATGTTTGATATATCAACGTATGCGCATGGGTGACATTTTTCGCAATAAGATAATACGAATAATGCCTAATATGTATATTATACGTATATTTGCGATGAGCGTGTAATAATCATTTTATCGGAAATCATGTGGGGTACATACAGTAACAGTCACTTATCGATATAGTTAATACTTTAATATATATAATACATCTGCAAGCTTTGCTCCGCGTGTCTGTGTGTGCTTTATGAAATCGTTTTTCCACTAGCCGCGATTTTCCATTTCTCGCGCTCTGACGTCGATGTCGACGTCGTCAACTTGTGCAACCCCCCGCGCGTATACTTGTCAACAAATGCAGCGTATAGTAGTACACAATGTACAATGTTATTCAACGATTCTAGTGTCTTTTTTTTTCCTTTAAAACTTTTTACTATGCTATTCCTTATACGATTGTTCTAATCTATCCCATTATCTTTTAACGCGAACTAATTAGCCTCTACTACCTGTACTTTTTAACGGTAGCTCATTATCTCGAGCTGATCGATGTAGGCTCTCGAATGCTATTCATAAACTCTCGAGGGAATGCATAAAGAATGACATTATATTTTCTGTTACAATTTATGTTTTATTTTATCACATTAAGATAGTACTATATAGTGACGAAATTTTGTTAAAAATCTATCGACCATATTTGTGCATATAGATCGTTTGGTCGAATGCTCCAAATTATCTTATCGATATCCTAAGAAATTACTATAATATTAATATCGATTTCCGTTCGTTTTTTATATAACTCATTCGTGACGATCACGGGAAGTACACGAAATTTTTCTGTAATACAATTATATCGTATTGAATTAATTTTACAAAAAAAATTGAATTCAATAAAAGCCCGTCAAACTGCAGTACGAAGAAGCTTTAACCGTCGTCGCCATGCAATTATCGACCACTTTAATCGAATCGTCGAGTAAAATTTAAAAATTTCCAATCGAATCAATAAGTGCCTAATCCAATTGTCGAGGCCAAAGCCCGTAATACGCGCTCGACCACCGCCACCACTTCTCCTCTCGTATCGATAAAATTACAATACATTTTTATTGTTCTTTATTTTCATATAATTACGCCTAATAAAATGTTGGCGCACGTGAGCTTCGGCCGAAATTCTTTTCTCTTTCCTTCTCGATTCTTGTCGATCATCTGTCTCTCCGTTATGACCTTACATAATTTTGCGCTTGCACGCGAGGCGGTATATATGATTTATTTTGCAATATTATAAAGATCGTATATAATTGTCGAGTGTGCCTCCTGTCACTTCTCGGTTACGCCGATAAATAATTCATGTTTACTCGCAGGCAATTTATCAACAAACAAATAAAGACGGCCAGTACATATTATTATAAGCGAGAGAGATCAGAGACCACGTGTGCGCGCGCGCGATAGGGATTAATATTTTTATGTATCAAGTGGTCGCTCGTCGCGCACGCACGCGCTTACGTGACATTGTATATTATATATTGTACGTCAAAAATATGAGAGATTTCGATCGAAACAATTTTTATTGTACCCTGCGACTCGGCTGCAATATAATAACGCGTAATAATTACGATTGAGATGAAAAGAATCGCGCGCCTGGCCGATGCCAATCGAATTTTTTTGAGCCGTGCGTACGTCCACGCGCCAAAATCTACACGAAACGCGGAAGTTTCGTACGGACAAAAAGTCTCTCGTTCCAGAGTCTCGTTATCACGGTCAATGGTCATTGTCGATCTGCATTAGATCGATGCGGCTTTTTGTGTGCTGCGGCGGCACAGATGCGGCGACGACGACTGCACTGCTGCGCACAGGGAGCGGCGGTTCGCGTCTGTTTTTGTTTTTTGTCATTGTCACGGCTATTTATTGTTTCGAACTAGTCGCGCGAGGACGTATTGCCGATTTTTTTTTCTTTCCGCGTTCGTTGTGTATACACACATGTTCGATATATCTTCGTCGAGATGTCTGTCGGGATACTTGGACAAAAAGATCCGGTTCATACACATATACTTACTAGGAAATTCGGTTTCATAGCTGCCTAGAGGTGAACAATCGGATCGAGCTCGTATCGAGGGTAATTAGTGCAGATATAATGGTAGTGGATCAATGAACGGAGATAGATAAGGGAGTAGATCATTGTACCTAATTACATTTTCATTTTCTATATTACACAAATTAATTATAACATAATCTTCATTATTTATCCGCGTAGGAGATATATTATTAAGAGAGAAAGAATTTAAAGAATTTTAAAGCAAACTAAACAAAAACGATGAATTAGTAGTTTTAATTGTACGATAAGCCGTAAAACGAGACCGAGAATTAATCTGTAATGAGCATCGTGTGAAGCACGCGTCGTACACGAGACCTGCGCGGCGTTAAAACAAAAACAAAACAAATCCGCCGATCCAGAAAATTTGTTGAAACAACTGCGGGGTTTTTTTGTTGTAACGTTGTTTTTGTCTTACATACTTATTTTGAATTTGAGGCATTTTTACTTAGAAAAATGCCAATTGTACTTACTCCAAGGCCAATTACTTTACGGGACGTGCAGATAATTGTATAATTTATTATTGAAATTCGACTGTTTTCGATGCGCGCGATACGATGCGGCAAAGAAGAAGGAACAAAAATTCACAAATATCATTTTCATCCGTTTTTCATTTTCCATTTTGTTTTTTTCTTTTACAGTGGTAATAACCAACGTCATAGAAACTGGAATGCGAGAAAAGATGAACGCGAGTCAGATCGCCGAACAAGTCTTCGTCGAGCTCGCCCAGTATCTGGGTCATGAGTTGGACCACTACATAACCTTTCCTCCACTCGGGACCAATTACACCTTCATCAACTGCTTCTTCCTGGCGTTTTCTACCCTCAGCACGATCGGTAAGCGAGCAGCACCACAGCTGCTTCTTTTTTTCCTCATGCGCACGAACGTATCGACGCATTCATTATATATCTCTGTAATAATTGTTATTTAACTCGCGGCGTATATCGCGCATCGCTCGTTGATAATTTTTCAAGTACTTGGCATGGATTGAAAAAAAAAAAAGAAAGAAAGAAAAACGGAGTAATGACGTTTCGCGACCTTCGCTCCGATCAATGAAATCATACCGATTCGGTTGACGCCGCTCACGTTTTCACCGCGCGCACGTGCGAAGCTCGATTATTTTTTTTTTAGAAAATTACTACGACGACGTCGAGGGATGAATCGACCGGTAAACTTTTGTGACGTATGAGTACTTGCACTATCGTCAACTTTCGAATTGTTGCTGATTTTTCCCTCTCCTTTGATGTCGGTACATATAACAATCATATTACACACATCGATTAGATGTTTATCGCTCGACTCGATCAGGTGCTCTCTCGTCACTCGGCGGGGGCGGCCGCCTTGATTGATGTTTCGCGCAAAAAAATTCTCGCGCGCATCATACAACGAGATAAGAATTTTTCAATGCCGAATGGCGCGAAATGAAAAAAAAAAAAAAAAATTACACACACCAAACCCAACCCCCGAATTTTCTCAACAGGCTACGGCAACATCTCGCCAACGCGCAACTCGTCACGCCTCTTCACCATAGTGTTCGCCTTTATCGGCATACCGCTGTACGCCTTGACCCTGGCGCGCATCGGCGAGATCTTCGCCCACATCTTCATGGAAGGCTACTACAATTTCAAGGTGGACATGCTGTCGCTCGAGCAGAAGGAACAAATGGAGATCGAGAGGTACAAGGCGATGGGCCTGGAGCGCACCCCGGAGGACATTGAGCGGGCCCGCCAGCTGCGCAGGTGGATCTCGATTCGATTCTCGATGAAGATCGTGCTCTTCGTGATACCGGGACTGTCGCTGATGGTCGTGCTGCCGGCAATACTGATCGGCAGGGTGGAGAAGTGGACCTTCATCGAGGCCGTGTACTTCGCCTTCATCTCACAGACGACCATCGGTTACGGAGACTTCGTTGCCGGTACGTATTTTCTTTTTTCCTTTCTTTTGCTCGCGAAGGCTAAAAAAATAATATCGGTAGTATATAATGTTGTCTCGAGCTCTTTTTATACGCAATTATCGATAACTAATTCGATACGATACGTACACGTCGTTCCACGAAATTTTATTATCCTTATTTACCTCAAAGCTCAAAGCCGTGTGAGAATATATGCAGAGATATATCACGCGGTTTACATTTTTTTTTCTACTGCTACTACTACTTCGTCGTTCGTGCAATTTTTTGTACGCGCGTCATTCATCGTCGCGTCTCATCTCATTAACACGTCGTTATTTTTGAAGCTTTCAGACGCATACGTCGCGGAGATCATTGCATTTTCAAATAGTCTATTAGTGCTTGCGCGACTTGGCTAAGAAAATTTACTGCTGCGTCGACGTATTCCGTTACGTATTTATTACGCGTATTATTGCGTTCGATGACAAATTAGTTTTGCTGCTCTGAAAGCTTAAGTTGTGCTTTAAAAATCTTTTCCTTTTTTTTACTTCTTTTTTTTGCTTCTTTTATTTTTGTTATTGTTGCACACGTTTATTAAAAAAAATATCGTTTTTGTTAAATCATGCAAACAAAAGGAAACTTTTGAGTAAGTACCAAGATCATAAGATAGGCATGCAACCGTATGATATTGTAAAATCAAACATAAATCATCATCAACTATAACGAGGAAATGAAAATTATTGCCGCAGGTATCAAAAGCAACATAAAAAACAAATGGGCCAACGGCTTCTACCAGACCTTCCTGTTCATGTGGCTGTTCCTCGGTCTCAGCTATATCGCCATGATCATACGATTCATCACCGACTTCATCTCGAGCCGCAAACTGCTCAAGATCGAGGCTGCCCTCATCCAACGGCTGCGCCTCAAGCGCGGCAAAGTTTGGAACGATCGCATTCTGAATTTCAAGTTCTTCCAGCGCATGGCCGAGGAGATGCAGCTGCACAAGGAAATTAAGGAGCCGCTGCAGTACTCGTCGCCCCAAATGTTCCTCGCCGAGTGGCAGAGCTGTCCGGATCTGCGCATGCTCGACACCCCCGAGTTCCAGGCTATGGTCGAGGCAGAGGCGATGAGACGCGTCAAGAGCGACACCGATTTGCAAGCATTGGTAAGGATTTTCGCTAATTCTCTTCTCTTTTATTTATACATCGTTACAAATATAAGTGTATCAATGTTGTAATAAAATTTACAGTACGAAGAAGAGATGATAGAGGAGAAGCCAAACAAGAACGAAAGATGGGTAATGCGTTCGGACGCAGCCGACCAGGTCGGGGACGAGCCATGCAGAGCCTCCGAGATTCTGTCTCGCCTTGTATTGGCTCTGGGCTACGAGCCTCCGTGCTTCTGCGACGAGGAGGATAATTGCGAACAACAACAACAACAGAACGAGCAGAGCGTCTACGACACGGTGAGATCGATGTCGATGGCAGCGGCCGACAGGTCGGATTCACTTTCGCCGATCGCCTTGGACGCCGCAGCCCTGGCTCAGCTCAACGCCAACACGATCACCTCGATGCAGAGCTACAACGCCGGCGGCGGCTACTCGAATTACGACGCCAAGACCATCACCCAGGACGAGTCGGTGTTCAGCCACTGGAGCACCACCATAGGCCCGGAGAAGATGACCCCCCTCGACAGCAAGTGGGACGTGTCGACGACGAGCGAACCAGCGAGGAACTTGGCGGCGGCGGCGGCGGGCCCAACAGTCGTGCCCGACAGCAATCAGACGAGCGTGACGGGCTCGGCCGCGTTGGCGGCCCGACTGGCCCGCGGAATGCGTCCGCGCTCCAACAGCGAGCACTTCGCCAACAAGCAGCACGCGCTCCCTTGCCGCTATCGCAACGAAATGACGTGGTACGGAGCGCCGACCAGCAAGGAATTCGACGACGTCTTCAAACAGAGCCGTCGAGAGCAGGAGCAGGACAACAACATCATGCCGCAGATACCGGAATTGTCGTATGGCTCGCAGCAGCAGCCGCAGCAGCAGTCGGCCAAGAGCAAAGTGTTTTCGCGCTTCATGCGCTTCAACAAGTGGATGAGGAGGCCCAGCATCATCGAGCAGCAGGTCGAGCGCAGCTACAACAGCATCGAGGAGGCGATGAGGCGCGACGCCGAGACCTTCGACGAGCTGCCCAAGGACTCGACCGTCATCGACGTCATCGAGCTCCAGCAACGCGAGCGCTCGCAGCGACGGGGCGAGCGGGCCATCGAGGAGATCACCACAAATCTCAATCCCAAGTCCCTCGAGGTGCTGGAGAACACCTCGGTGGCGGACCTGATGCGCGCCCTGGCCCTCATCAGCGTGGGCGCAGCCGGCAATGTCGCGGGTGGCGGCGGCTACCGCCAGGTCGACGACCGAGGCCAGCCTCTTCTGCTGGACGACCATCAGTTCATGTCGATCACGGGCCACAACGGCGTGGGCCTGGCGCCCGTCCCCATGACCGTGGCCTGTCAGTCGGCTGGCGCCGCCGGTCAGCCGCATCGGAAGTTCGGCACGGCGCAGCGGCCCCCGGAGAAGGGCCTCGAGAAGCTGCTGTCGCTGTTCGTGCCGCCACCAGGTACCGGAGGGACGGACACGGGCTCGTCCAACAACCAGTCGAACCAGTGCCCGTCCAGCGATCTGCTGACGGAGGAGGAGCGGCAGCATCTGCGCGGCAGGCGCGCCACTCAGGGCAACGCCGACATGCTGGGTCTCAGGTCGCGCTTCGGCGATCGCCGATTCTCCCTCAGGCCGACCAGTTTCGGCGGCAGTGGTGGAAACGGCTCGTTCGGTCGGGGCGGCGACGCTTACACCAGCAGGCGACGCTTCGACGACCATCATCTGATCGAGTCCTGCCCGAAGCGCTCGCTCGTCCAGACGGAGAGCCGACCCGGGATCTCGTCGCCGGTCGCGCTGGCCGCGGCCAAGAGGGCGGCGCGCCGATTCTCCGTGCGTCCGGCCGACATCGCCTCGCCCATAGGCAAGGGTGCCACCAGTCCCCTGAGCGTCGCCTCCGCGTCCATCTCGTCGTTCGTCGAGACGGATCCGGCTGGCCCGTCGCCGGACAGTCCGCGAAGTAGATACGACCGACAGACCTCGCTGCAGACCGGCCCGATTCCCCGTTGGAAGGCCGGCATACTGCAGAAGGGCGCCTCGGCCTTCAGGCGAACACGAGCCTTCAGCCTGAGCGAACTGGACAAAGGCGGCAGCAGCGGCCGCGTCAACGGCAGTCCGCAGGGCGCGAGCGGCGTCGGTCGCGGCAGCAGCAGCAAACTGGCCATCAGTCCGCTGGCCATGAACGAGGCGGAGGGTCGCGGGATGACCGTGAGCCAGCGGCTGCACACGAGCACCCAGAAGACCGTGACCATCGTCACGCCCAAGAGCTCGGCCAGGGGCCTGATGATGAGCAGCCAGGTTGGTGGCGCTGCCGCGAACTTGATGATGACCACGTCGTCGCCGGAGTCGCCGCGCGAGCGAACCGAGTCGGGCAACGAGGCCGATAACAGCTCCGAGGAGTCGTAGAGGAGACACGAATGTATAGATTGTACAGATGATTTTTTAGATTTTTACCCGCAAGCGAGTTCTTTTAGTTTTTAGATGTATCGATGCTTTGGACGAGGACTCGTTGTCGTACAAAATTTCAGTTTTTAATCGTTCGTCAGTATTTTCTGTATATAGTTTTCGTCTAGAGCGTCGATAATTATGTATAAAATGTAAATAAGACAATTTTTAGTAGACAGTTTGATTGTCTATAATGGACCGAATCCAGGGGGGAAATGTCTTTCTTTCATTTACATTATATTTTCACAAATATACCAGAGATTTGATATTGCGTATTCTATCATAATTTTTTAGCGTTACGATCGTATTGTTGACTCGTTGTATACACCGCACACGCATGTATTATTTTATTTTATTACTCCTCGGTGTGATAGACTGAATATCGTGATATATTTTGTTTTTTTTTTTTAATCGAAGAATGTGAACTCTGCGAAGCAGAACGAGAGAGCCGATTTATTTTGTCCCGAGATCAATACTCAGTCATTTTTACCGATAACTTACGGATCGTTATTTTATTAGCGTAGAGCGCGATTGAACAAAAAAAAAGTTTCCTGTCACGTACATTATAATTATTATACATTTACATATTTGGTACAACACTTTGCAGAGAAGCCATATCATGTATTAATTTTAATTATATAGAGCTAATGTTTTATTTTACATCGTGCCTCTTCTTTGATTACGCTTAAAGTTACCATTTTTTAATTTAAGTCGAAAGAATGTAAGAGACAAAACTGTAAGATAACTGTGTAACTATAAGGAACGACAATAAAAAGGCTGTGACAAGTATAGAGTTTCGATCAAATTGATGCGAATGAAAAACAAAAAAGAATCGAATTGACATGCTCGAAGCGTAACGAGTTCGTTATAGTATTTTTACAAATGCGGCTGTGATTTTAATCGTAGAAAGAGACAGTTTTTAATGAATAGTGAGAGCCTTATCAAATCATACAATGATTATTTTAGATAAGAAAACGATTTCCTATAGGCAGCAATGTAACACATGAATTATTTTTTAAGATTAATTTCAAGTTGAATTAAATTGCGAACAATTCCGTACGAGAGAATTGCCTATAAAGATTAATATGATTATTATATAATTTATTGCGTCTTACGAAATTAATTAAAAAACTATTCGGTAAATTTCATGCAATACGCGTCCTAAAGAGGAATTACCTGTAGTGATTTTAAAGCGCACGAAGTACTTTTTAAGTTTTATTAAAAAATGACTTTTCCGTGTTCTGCGAACACGTCTCCCGTAGAGGAATTTCCTGCGGTCAACAATGTATTGTATCTGCGGACTTCTGATTCAAAAAGTTATCTTTAATTGATTTATGATTAAGTACTTCATTTGTAAGAATTTCCTATCTGATACAATATGTTGCCTTTTTAATATACGTTTCAATTAATTGTTTGAAAACTCATCCTAAAAATGTCTGATACTTGCAAAGTACGTGACGTATTTTCGATGAAACAACCTTTCAATAAAATTGATAAATAAAAAATTTGAGTGCAATAGAAATTATTTTCTGTCTCTTATTATCTTAAATAAATTCTTTGCCTATCGATTTTGGACGTAATAAAATCAAACGTAAGGATTTCAAAGTAAGTATCAAAAGATGTATAGATAAAATTGTTTTAATCAAGTATATACTGAATATAAATTCCACAAACATCATCATTCAGATTTCATTCAATAAGATCATGATCAAGACTTGTTTTACTTTGAGTAAGATTCATCAAAATTTATTAATAAATGTCAATACCTTAAAAAATGTCAACATTTTAGGTATTCCTAAAATTGGCTAAACAGCAAAAGGTGTATGTACACTACTATTAATTCTATTTACATTTTCCACAGTAGATAATTGTATGAAATGTTTGTATAAAAATGCAGCAAGTTATGAACAATTCATGTTTTTTCGGAGATATAATGCACTCAATGCAACAATCAACTTTGTTTTGGTATATTCTTTTACTCGTGCTCACTTTTTATTTTATAGATGAAATAAGCAGCAGATTTGTTCCTTTTTTTAATATGCTCGTTCGATTATGTGAAGCACATTTTGATAGTTACATTAATCACGTAGTTTCAAAGCAAGTACATTGTTTGAAACTCTAACATTTTGCTTATATTGCGCTTCATAAAGTGACACGAGTGGACAACTAATATAAAATAATGCGTAAAATACATTTCGGAAATTATAGGAAAATATTAATCGATACAACGCGTGAACAATTGAAAAAGAATTAATTTTATACAATTAGTGTTCACTAGTCAAAACCATTCCATCCAACCGCTTTTGAAGTTCCTCCACTAAATTTTCTCGTGATACCTCTTTTTCTTCGCGAGATTTCACATCTCTCAATTTCACAATTCCAGCTTTAATTTCTCCCTCGCCAATAACAATAGCCAAGGGTATGCCTTGTTCTTCGCAATATTGTAGTTGTGCAAGAAGTTTCGGACTCTTTTTATACGAGTGTTCGGCTTTGATGTTGGAATCCCAGAGCTCGGTAATGATCTTCATGCGTTCTTCGTGCAAGTTTTTCTGAGCTGCAGCTACGAACACCTGAACTTCGGTCGTTCGTGTTTTCAAGCCACGATTTGCTACTTTTGACTCAAGAACACTGAAGATACGCTCGATACCCAAAGACATTCCAACACATGGAACCGATCTGCTTTTGGGGTCGAACATACCGACGAGATTGTCGTAGCGTCCTCCACCTGCTACACTCCCCACACCGACATCGTCACCTGGAAAATAATTTAATTAAAGACATTAATTTTTGAGGATAATACACTTTTTAATGAAAAATTTTTCACGAAAAAATAATTTTACCAGTCAGAATAGCTTCATAAATAACACCAGTATAGTAGTCTAAGCCTCTCGCTAAACTGAGATCAAAAACTACATTGTCCATAACTTTGAATAATTCACAGTATTTGAGTAATAGGTCCATAGCATCTATGCCTTGAACTGCAGAGGGCTGCTTCATCAGATCTTCGTCTTTCCTCAATTCCTCTACCAAATTTCTACCACCATTTCTGGATACATAGCCACCAATTTTATCAGCTATCTTTTCATCCAAACCTTTCTCTTCTACCATTTCTTTTTTTACTTCTTCCCATGGACTTTTGTCAAGTTTATCAACAGCAGAGCATATGGTACGGAACTTATCTTCTGGAACTCCGCATGCTGCAAAAATACCGTCCAGCAAGCATCTGTGATTAACTTTGATAGAGAAAGGTCCTAGATCCAAAGTGTTGAGAGCCTCATAAATGATTTTCAAACATTCTGCATCAGGTAACATAGGATCATATTGTCCAGCAATATCAAAATCCTGTTAGAAACAAAATATCCTTAGGAAAAGTTTTATTAATAAAATTGTATACTGTTTTTTGAAACTTACACATTGATAAAATTCTCTATATCTTCCTTTGGTCATGGCTGGGTTGTCTCTTCTGTAAACTTTTGCTATTTGGTACCTTTTAATAGAAGCAATTTTGTTCATTGCCAAGTAACGTGCAAAAGGAACTGTTAAATCATATCTCAAGGCAAGTATTTCACCTCCTTGATCTTTCAGATCATAAATTAATTTGGAGTCTTCACCATATTTTCCTGTGAGCACCTCCTGTAATATCATAATTTTTTTAATATTTTTTCCTGCATATTAATTTAATTTTCAAAATTGATTTAACCTTTAATTCAAAGATTGGAGTATCTATAGTTTCAGCACCGTGTTTCTTGAAAATAGAAACAATTTTGTCCATAGCTGACAAACGCAAGGCCATTTGTTCAGGATTGTAATCCCGTGTGCCTTTTGGTGTTTTGAGCTGAAGTTTCTGTGAACTGGTTGCATTGTTATCGCCTAATTCTGCTTTCAGTTTCAGTAGTATGTCCACTTCTTGTTTTATCTGTAAAAAGAAATCACTTGTTATTGAACTATAATGATAATCTAGAAAAAACGACATATAGGTCCGCATATACCTGTGTAGAAGCGGCCATAGTCGTGCATCGTCGTGCAGTCAGAGCAAGTTGTGTACGCATTAGAGTTAACATGTTGCAAGATTCGAAGTAACCCCAACCAGAATGAAATAAAAATCCACCTCAATGTTGGTTATTCAAACTAATAGAACATGAGATAAATTTCAAGTTAACCAGCTAGCATTCTACTGCCACAGATTTTTAAAAATAAGTTTGACAAGTGCAACAACATTTAACATGATCAGAATTTATCTGAATCAATGGAATAATGATCTGTGACAGTGTTGCAAGCAAGCAACTACTGCCTCACCTTTTCATCAATATTTTTGTGTGACAACGTGACAAGAAAACTAATAATTTTATCTAGTTCATGATTAGTACGATTTGACTTTAAGAATTTTAACTGTTCCTCAGAACTAAAACTTTTGATATGATTAAACCATCTCTTTAAATTAGGAAAACTGTTATAGTCTCCATTCCCATAAGAACAACAAAAGTTATAAAGTTGTACATCTCTGTCTGAAGGTGTCCAGCCATTAATGTAACTTTTAGCTGCTAAAATTCTATCAATTTCTGCTAGATGTTCTGTAAATGCCTTTCACCAAAAAAAAATCTTCATTAACTAGTCATAATTCTTGAATCATCATAAACTCAATTCTTCAATTCATATCATTTTTCATATTAATTTTTAATTGAAACTCGCAATTGGTTAGAAATTTTAACAGAAAAAATAACTCAAACGAAACCATATGCAATAAAATAGTACAATTGCGAGGAACCGCAAGTTGTGAGGCAATACTCGGTAGCGTCACCGGGAGGAAGAAGCTGATGCAAGCCATGATATATTAGCGGATAGCACAACAGCTGCTCTATAAATATACAGTTAACCTCAACAAAAATGAGGAACAATTAGATAGCGGATATCATGACAGGAATTATACTTTGCACCGAAATTTAGCCAAGCTTTCACGTGTTATTTTGTAATTTCGCAAAGACATGCGGCAGACAAGCGCACGCATAATCGTTATCAGCTCGCGTTAGTAGTGCCATAAAACGTAAATACATACAAAATTGAATCATTGATTAATTTGACCCTTTAAAATGTTAGCCCGAGATAATTATTCGGCATAGATTGCGAGAAAGAGTTGGAACAGTCCCGTATCAATATGTACGGCATAATGAGTACATATAGCAGACGCGTATGGTTAGCTCGCTGCTCAGCGAGCCGATATTCAAATGCATAAAAAAATTTGCACACGTGTTCCCGTTCACTTTGTAGCCAACCTCTATATCTTGCATCATCGCGCGTCGCGCGGTCACACGCGTTCGCAGAACAGACAGAATTTTTGCACGAAAATCTGGGACTCACCTTGCTCGGATCGGCCTTGGCGCTTTTGAGATTCCTGACTAAGTCGCCCTGGGCCTTGATCTGGTCTTGAAGAGTCGAACCCATGGTTGCTTCGGTTTATAACAATTGTTCTAAACGTACACTTTATCGAACAATCAAGTATTATAATTCAATGTATCGATGTATACACAGATGTGCGGGGTTATGTAGCAGCTCCGCGACACGGTACACCAAGCGCCATCAATGTTTCGACTGCGACTGACTGAGCTACTGCAAGAAATAGCATAAAGAGCGCTGGACTCGCTGCTGCTGCTTGCCGCGCGCGAAAAGAGAGAAAGGAGCCTGTGTAAAAATGACTTAGAGGGGCATTGTTTTGTGTGTGCCGAGATGCCAACTTTTGCTCCTTGAATCGATTTATGACTTGGAATTTTGATATTATTCGCAAAACTTAATTTAAAATTGAAAAACTTTAGTTATTTTCAGACTTAAGCTTTCGATCTTGTTTGAATATTGAAGTTTTAAGTTATCGCGAACACTATACAACTGTATTCAAATGCATATAATGTATTATAATTTTACGATCCTCGGAAGGGGGCACGCTCACTTTTATATTTCGTCACACATCTAACCCAGTAAGCCGAGAGAGCAAGAGAGAGAGAAAATGCTGAGGCCGCGCGATCATTGGCTGGAGAACGAGGCGAGCCCTCTTATACCGATATTACAACGCGCCGCCGCCGCCGCCGCCAGGTTGAAACATTTTTTCTTTTTCCTTATTTTTATTATCCTGCCGCGTGGAACGGGAGGAGGTTGCCTTTACAAGTTTATAAATAGAATCGGTGTTGGGGAGTTTTTTTTTTCGTGGCTCGACAAAAATACACGGCCGCAGACGTATTCTTTTTAATTTTTTTTTTCCTCTTATTCCGATGCAGACGTGTTGTATGCACGTTTCACCGAGCACAGACTCGATCGCAGCTGCATTATGTTATACGTGCAGTGTGTAATCGCTAAAATCGACAAGCCGCGTATAGCTTTCTATATGTCTAATATCAGGACTGCGGGCATGCGGCGATTACACAAATCGGCAGCAGGAAAGTTTGTATTATATCGTGGCGTACGCTCCTACTCCGAATCTGAAATCGACACAAAAATTACCCACTACGTCAATTTTAAAATTACCCACTGAAGTGTGCGCTTATAATATACACCTATCCGATCGAAAATGGGAAATTTTTCTGTAACTAGGCGAATTATGCGCGTAACACGAAGCAAGTCTGTCTGCGCATTAATGAGTATTATAGTCGTACCCGCGGGACTCGATCGGATTTTCTTTGCATATTTACGCGTGCGATTCTCGCGATCGAACTCGACACAGAGAAAAACATATAATACAATGTGCGTGTGTACTTTAATGTGCGAATGTGCTTGCGACAGAAGGCCTTTGATCGACGACGATGCCCTTGCCTCTATACATGCCAATTAACTTTTTCCTTTCTAATATTCAAATCAGCCGCGCGCGTTCCCGCCGCACTTTATAAACATATCAATCGCACCGAAGCGTTAAAGTACATAATAATTCGCTCGAGTGCAGCAGAACTGTATATCGATCGTATTGAAAACCAACTTTTCCCAATTTCTGCGTTCATTCCGGAACATCGGATTATACATGCTCGCGGAATCATCTCGTGCTACCGCTGACAGCTACTTACCTATACGAGACATGCCATCGTATCGGCGTGCTCTACTTGCTCGACCTCGTTGCTCACTGCATACGCGCTCGAATAATGCGTTCAGCGACTCTCTCTCTCTTTCTCTCTCGTAATCCGCGTCTCTTTCAACGGAGCTGTGCCGCTGCTCTCTTTTCTCTTTTTTTTTTGTCTAGATGTGCTGTCCATACATAGACGAAATAATTATGCAATCTCGGGATCTCGGCAGCTGTTTGGGACAGATTTACATCTGCGCGTCCAATGCAAAATCGTTTATCTATCGATACGTACCTGTACCACCTGCGATCGCTCGGGTATGTTTGCACCGAGCAAAGTTTACGAGACGTTGTGTGCATCAAGTGCGCGCGAGACCTTGATACTTTCTTTTTCTCTCTCGTTCGCAATTACGCATTGTGTATAGAATGCTATGTAAGAATATGAAGAAAAACAATATTGAGCATGCGACTGTTGTATGACTCATAAACCATAAGAGAAAGGAGTCTTTGTATTTGCTCAGAAGACAACGAAAAATTAAAAAAAAAGAACAACTACGAGTGAGATATTTTTATTTTTATTTGTTTTTTTGTTTTCATCTTCAATTTTATTGATAGTTATAACAAAACAATTAGGCATTATGTAGAATACATGAAAACGCATGGAATTTTATATAAATGAACGAATATGAAAATGAGAGTAAAAAACCATACACATCGTTGAAAAATAATGTCTCGTATTATATGCTCGAGTTTAATGAAAAAATCATAATTGATGCACTAAAGATCAATATACACTACGAAAGGATCGGTTCGAAAAAGACGATCAATGTTGTATAATTTTATATTTTTTTCTTTTACATCTAGATAACTTTTATTAACCAATTTTTTTTTGTTTATCATCGTTATCGTTTTACAAATTACGCCGGTGTTTTTTTTGTTCTGTTTCCTTTTTTTTAATATATCCTGAAGACATTGCGCGGTCGTGACAATCCCGCGTATCGAGTACATCGGAATGTCCAATTACAATTAATACTTAATAATGTTACAATGCTTTTCACAACTCTTTTTTCTTCAATGATAAAGAGTGGTTGAAAAATGGAATCGCATGTATAGAGTTGGATGAAGTCGAAGGAATGGATAGAGAAAAAATAACAATCAATGAACGCATCGTCGAGAGCAATTGGTTAGATGATAGTTGGGGTGGTTGGGGTTTCTGGGGATGGGAGGGCGGTGAATGTAAATTCATTACTATTTCTTCATAATCGGCATTTATTATTATTTACCTTGTTCATTGTTTTGTTGATGTCTGTTGCGGATTACGATGAATTATTATTACATTTATGATTCATTAATTACGGCTTGGCTTTATTATATATTCCAATAATATACAATGGTTTTTTTCGAATTAACTTTATTTCGTAAACTTCTTTTAAAATCCCTAAAAGTTGACCTTTAAGAGAACATGGTTACTCGACAACAAACATGTACTTTTTATTTTTTTGCTGATTTTTTTTTATCGATTGTTACCATTTACGTTTTTTTTTTATTCCTTTACATTTAATGTTTCGATCGTGTCACTGTTTTTTTTGTTTATTTTTTTTTTGCTTTTTTTTATTTAATAAGTCGTATAAGTGTAAGAGTCACTTGTGCGTGTGTACAAACTTGAATAATTATAGTCAAAGACATCAAAAACATCCTACGTAATGTTTAAATAACGAGACCGTGGATTTGCTTCTGTAATTCCTTTTCTTATCCAGAGTCGAAAAAAACCAATCAAACACGAGGCTCGTCACTTTCTCGTTGTTTTTCAAAATTGCGCGTATAATTAACAATAAATACAATCATTCCCTTGTCCGGTTTAAACAATACAACGAAGACGTATCTGTGAAAAATATCTCGTACATCTATGTGTGATTGGGAAACGATTTTCCGTTGTTGTTTTGATTAAGTTTCCATTGAGCTACGGTCCGATTTTTGCTCCCTGCAAATCCACGGCCTCACAATCGTTAGGCTTACAGCTACTATTTTTTTTAAGATATCGGTGTACTTATACAAGAATGCTTTGACCTCGCGTCATCCTATTTCTTTCTTTCGTGTCTTATAATGAATCATCATATAATATATATAATATATATCACTATAACTTCGAAGATCTTACTAATCATTAATTATCATTCAAAAGCCGTCAATAATTGTCGCAAACATTTTTTTTATATCATCAAGTATCATCACTGAGAAAAACATCTGGTAATACAGTAGTAATAAAAATGAGTGCAAGAGAGTCGGTTGGGACTTCGCTGTTACGCTCAATTTTAATTTATAAATATATGGCGAGAAATTTTACTCAGTGATCAAACGATTCTCCTCTCAAGAGTCAATAATTTTCAAATCGCTGCTCTATTCATCGTAGGACCATGTACTTAGCAATTTATTTTTCTAAATTTGTATTTGACTCGCGTAATATACTAGCCATTTTTTTACTGCTGCTGAGTGTCTTATGAGTTTCTTTTTTTGTTCAATGCTTTTATTTGGTCCGGTGTGGCAGTGCCTTTTGTGTCATCTCATCACACTCGTTAACGAACATCGTGTGCAATTTGGCATTTGTTTGTTTCATTTTTTTTGTTATTTATTTTAAATATTGTTTTCCATCTAGTATATTACTTCATTTTTGAGTTATATTATTTCACATATTCTGTCACTCCTCGTTTTTTCCGTAAAATTTCTAGATAACGAATTGTACCGTAATATAAAGCTTGCATGATTATACAAAATCTCGGCTTTGAAATAATTGTTCATTTTTGCTAAGTCCTGTCTTTATTAAACATAATTATACGCTTTTTCAAACTATTCAAAGCGACTTTCCCACTTTTTATTAGTAAATATACAGTAATAATAATGATAATAATTATAATGAGTAAATACAATGTTTGAACAACGTAAATGTGAATCTTAAACTACGCAGCGCTCAAGCGATTGATACACAAATAATCGAACAAATATATTTTCATTTTTTTTCATATTTCACGAATTAAATGCATCGTTGCTTGCAAACATACTCATTTGTATACTTATTCGTACGACTCACTGATATTTACATCGCTGTAACTAATTTTCATTTAACACTCGCTCCCACATTCATTCGCTTAAAATCAAATCGATACAATCATATGTTCACATGATCATAATCTTAATTTATGTATATATATTTATTTATATATTTCCTTTCAACATTATCATTGTCACCGTCAATGTTATGTCAAATGTATGTATGTACTTTAATATGTATAATGTTCGTATGAAGCTATTAATGTTTTATTTTATCGTCGTCATGGTGTTTTCCTTCTCTTTGCTTACGATTCCAGCACATAATAATCCTTCCTTAATAACGTCTTAATAACGCTCTGTTCAATCTTATCGTCTACGTTACGTTTTCATTTATAACATATATTTATATTTATTTATGTACTTGATGCATGCTTTTTTCGCTTTTCAGTTTCTAAATGTGATGATTGATTTTTTTTAATTTTAAGTACGTAAATTTCGAAAGCTATTATAATAGGATGGAGTGTACGTGGATGATCAGAAAGAGAATGTTTTATCGTATGCGTTTTTCAAGTCTTAATATCTATGAACGTATCCTGTTTATGTCTGCACAGAAAGGAGCTAGGGGTTCGCTATTACACTTTTTTCTACAACATATGTCAAAGATTATCGCTTGTAATTATTCTTAATATCACCAGCATAAAATCAGCGACGTTTAATAATACACAATTTGCTTGATTTATCTCTTCTTTTCCTTATAATCATTCTTGCATGCGGCCTTTACAAGTTTTGGCCTTAGACACTAATCAATAGCGACATTACTTTTATACTTCTTTTAGAAGTTTACTGAAATAGCTTGTTTACTTTTTTTTGTTTTTTTTTCTTTCATGCGTTACGCTTTTATATCATACTCGTTAATGAATGAATCATTTCTTCGTTTCTATGATCGTTTCGTTAAGTTTACTACGATATCTATTAATTAATGCAATTCATCGCCTAATTCATTTGAGCCGCATGAAAATTGCAGATACATCTAAGAGATGGCTAACTACAATTATTACTCGTTTCATTTTACTTTATTTATCGGACCCAAATGACCTGGTTACTGCACTCTATTTGACGCATTTTCGGCTTTGCCAATTTAAAATGACGTCCACTTTATTTTTATGCCATTACTTTTTTTTTAATCGATTGATGATTTTAGCGTTTCTAATGTGAAACAAAGATGAGCATACTTTTAGCGTTAAACGGTACTAATAATCTCGCGATTCAGTCGAAATATTTATTTATATTTTAATTATACTTTTGAAAATCACGAATAAATTTTGTACTTTTTTAAACGTTTCAATGATTAATCGAACTGATTGAGCCGATTTTGTTGAACACACAGACTTGTTCGAGAATGGAAAGAAAGAAAGATGTGCGTTTAGTTACTTTTTTTTGTTTATCGTTAATTTCGTCCGCTTTCCTTTTTTTTGTTATTCTTTGGCAATTGTATCATCACTTTAAGTATTCTTATAGTTTAGAGTCTATGATCCACGAGTTAAAATTGTCTACAAAGTAATTGTTTCTGCTCCCATTGAATACTCGACTTTATCCGGTTTTTAACCAACAACGTTAAACTCTGGAACTCTGGAGACTACGTCTCTTCCGTTATTTTTTTTAAAACTCCTTCAAATTGATTAAGTTTTATTTCGGAGTTCGTATAAATGCATCGGAGAATGTTTTTTTTATTTAAATTCGATTGAACTATACGCTATAGATTCTCTACATCACTAAGAATTCACGAGCGTGACTCGAGTCCGATTTGATTGAAATTTTTTTTCTCTTTTGATCGAACCCGTGTCAGCTATAGAGACTCATCGTCAACGTCGTCGCTACATCATGTGTATAATCATTGATCAGTTCGTACAGAGGAATCAATCGTGCACCGAGAGGCACGAGCGACGCGTCAAACGATGGTTCACGATATATAAAAGTAGAAAATGCGATAATCGTATCGTTGAGAAGCCATATACGTATTTGTGTTTATGTTGGTTTATGTACGTATGTGAGCGTGTGTGTGTACGTCTGCGAGTTTATACTCGCATTAAAAACGGGTTAAAAATTATTAAAAATCAGTTTGGTACGTGCGTGTGTACTTCGTAATGTTTGTCAGTTGCGTCCGATCGTTCGTTTGGTCATAAATTCGCAATTCTCGAATTGCTCGCGCTGTCATTTCGTTTCGTTCGTCGTTTGCGTGTATCGTTCGTGGTCAGTACAGCAGTAAACGGTAATACATGCGCGTATATGGTAACGCAAGATATCGCGGGAAGGGGTAGGGATTAACCATATTCGCGTGTTAAAGTCGAATTGTTTTTTCATCCACCTAAACTCATATACGTGTGTAATATATTTCTAATAATGGTCTCATAGATTAAGCGACGAAAGAGACGAGTTCGTGGTTCGTTGCCACGCGCTTCATACTACAATTCGTTCATCGTTCGCCGTTACAATTTTTATTTTTCATTCAATTAATATTCAAAGCATTCGTTATAGCATGCGGTCTAACAAACAAAGTTCACTCCTACGCAATAATCGATGAACGAAAGTGTCTTCGCTTTTGGCAACGAGTTCGTTTTAATATCGTCTACAGCATTCAATCTCGTTCAGGCACCCTCTCGATGAATCATGTGGGCCTTATCATATTCTCGTGTCCTCTCGTTTCATCATCATGGTCGTCTGATTGGTTTATCTCTATTGGTAATCTCTCTCGATGGACGTTGTTGTTGTGTGTCGCGATCAAGCGCCTTAATCGAGGCGCGCCTTGTAGCTGGTCTTCCAGATCTCGGCAAGCGTAACAGCGCTGTGGAACCTATGGAAGATGCAGAGCGGCACCGTGACCCTCTGCACGATCGACCAGGGCAGGAAGCCGTAGAAGTCGATCTGCACGGGGTTCTTCTGGACCTTCTGCACCTCGAACGTGTAGATGACCCACATGGCGACGTTGCAGATGAGCAGGAAGGTGACGATCTGGCGGCCGGGCTTGCTGCGGTCGTGCTCGGGCAGGTGGACGCGCCGGCGCGACACGTCGGCAATGAAGAGCAGCTGCAGGATCACCTGGAGCACGGCCAGCAGGCCCGTGACCATGACGAGCAGATTGGGCTCATGGGTGAAGGCGGCCAGCGAGCCGGAGATCACCGAGAAGGTGGCGTAGATGAAGAGGCCGAAGGCTGAGACGCGCAGCAGTATGTCGTTGAGGTCGCTCTGCTCCTCGGCCTTGAACTTGAGGTGTCGCACCCGACAGAAGCCGATGCAGATGGCGAGGATCGACAGGGCCATGATGGCGCAGTGCGAGACGTCCGCGAGGTAGATGGCGATCAGGCCCAGATCGGGATGGTGGATCAGCACGAAGAACAGGATGAGGCAGATGAGCGAGCCGACGAGGAGCAGCAGGCCGAAGAACAGGCCCTTGCTAGCACCCACGCAGTCGACGCGACCTTGACCTATAGGTGAGGTGGATTGGAGAGAAAGAGAAACAAAAAACAAAGAAGGCTCTTGTAAATAAAGCGCAGGGGAGCTGCGGGATTGTGTCACTACTACTTTGGCCGTGTGTGGTAACCCTGGAGGTGGTGCCTCTCGATTCTCGGGCGTCGTTTGCGAGACTGCGTCGGTGGAACAATGCACAATTTAGCAATGCAAGATTATTTTTGAGACGAAACATTGATCATTTTTTATGCTTTACAAAAGAAAAAACAATTTTTTGGGGTAGTTTTATGGCGGTTGATTTTAATCACAGTCAAAAGTTAATGCACGAAAAAAAATCAAATACATCCAACTGAATGAATTTTTTTTACAAATTTACATAAAAAAATTTCTGATCTAATTACCGGTAACTTTGAGTCATAAAAATAATTAAATCCATTTAGTTTTCCGTAGTTTTCAGTAGTTTTCCCATTAATGGTAAATATAGCGAAAAATTCAAAAATTTTCAGCGATAACGTGCAGCCAAATTACGGAAATATCACCGCCCAACCTTTCTTGAATAATTAATTATTATATAAGCCATGTACGCATGCGCAAAAATTGAAACGCCCATGAAAGAAAGATATTTGCCTACCCATAATACATTTGTTTGCTGGGAGCTATTTTTTTCAATTAATTTTTTTTTTAATCAAAGCATATGCTGAGTGCAACGAAAATATATATGTAGCTTTTAGTGATAAAACTGTGCTAATGCATGCCATTATATATAATGAAACATTAATTTATTATTGCATTTTTTATATAGACAAATAAAAGAGCTAATTCGTAATTTATTTAATTTTTTAAGAACCCATGTGATTTTCATTCTCAACTGATTCGATCAACTTTTTTTTAAACAATTCCATTTTATAAACAGACGATAAAGTGTCCACATCAAGTTCTTAATTTTGAAAAAACTTTTATCGTGAACTCTGTAAACTACATGTAAAAATAATAAATTAACAGAAACTAAATCGTGTGCAAAGCTTAAAATGTTAAAATCATTACACACTTATATAATGACTATACAATAATATACAATAAATTGTTAATTGTTTTGATATTACATCTTGCAGTGCTAAAATTGATGATTTTGTTTTACCTATTATATGACAGAGCAGTCTCTCTCGCAACGTACGACCCACCCTTCCTCGGAAGGCACTACCTGCAGGGTTACGATCGGCTCGCAAATCGATGCATTGAAGCGTGTTTATCCAGTGTGTAACCGTGCAAAATTGGTATTCGTAAGGATTTTCAAGCTGCCGTGATTATTTTTTTTAAATCAAGTAACAAAGCCGTACCTTTGACTTTTTTCTCTTTGACTTTTTTCTCTTTCTTTTCTTTTTTGCTCTCTTTTTTTTCTTCTACTTTGACCTCTTCCTGTTTATCGACTTTTCCTGACTCGTCATTTTCGGCCGACTCATCTAAAAGCAATGAGTAAGAGAGGGAACAAAAAAAAGTTCAAGAATGAATGAGTGATTCAATGAAAATGAATGAGTTAATAAGAAAATGTTTTTTTTTTGGAAATTGACAAAAGCAAAGTAGTCCTAATGCGCGAATCATAGAAAAAAAAATGAAAAAAAAAAATTCGTTTGATGCTCGCAAATATAATATGAATTAGAATGCATGATTTTCAATGAAATGTTAAACGAGGCTTTTGAAGGAAGGATGTAATACAACCAACTCGATCGCAACCAAGCTAAAAAATAATTTTTTTCATTTCTTTTGATGCTCTCTGAAACTGACATTAAACGCGCTTCATTGTCTGTGTGCATTGCAACGTTCAGTGCCAGATTCATTCAGCAGCAAGCTTGGAAAAAAACCAGAATACCAATTTTACGTATGTATTACATGACTTTCTCAAGTAAGAACAGACGTGTTTTTAAAAAGGAAGCTTCAAGCCTGCTGAGCATTGTTTTTATCTTTGTTTTCATGTCAAATAATTCGCTTTTATACATCTTAATGCGTTTTTGCAAGTAAAAATTTTTTTGTAAAAATCTCAAAAAATAGTAGGGGGCGAAAAAGCGAAATTGTTTCCTTATCCAGCGGTAGGTCTTAATCATTTATCGTGCGGGGACAACCGCATTCACGGGCGGGACACATTTTCACTTTTTCGCCCTCACTCGGCCCATAATAATAATTGAAAAAAAAAAAAGAAGAAATCCTGAAAACTGAATCGTTCGATACCGTACCTGCATTGGCAAGGGCAACGGCCCGCCTCGAGAGCATGGCCTCCAGTCGGCGCTCGAGATCGGCCTCGGCCTGGGTGTAGCGCGGATGACGTCCGATGTGCTTCCACATAATGTAGATGACCGCGGCGCCGATCAGACTGTACTCGATGATGAAGGGGAACAGATAGGGCGCCGAGTCCTTGACGATGGTGCCCATGATGTTGATGCGGCCGCAGCTGTTGTTGCCGCCCATGAGGCTGCCGTCGTTGGCCGTCAACGCCTCGGCGTAGGCGTTGTGGCTGGGATTCCACAGGGGGCTGCTGCTCAGCATGGCAGCGGCGCCGCTGCTGAAGTTGCTGGCCGTCGCGTTGGCCGTCTCCAGGAAGCGGGCGATATTGTTCTTGGCTTGGCCGTCGGCATCCGCGGCAGCGCCAGCCGCGTCGAGGACCGAGTCCGTGGCGTAGAAGGCGCCGGCCGAGGTCGTGATGGCGTCGACGGTCGACGTGGAGATCGCGTCCCTCTGGCCGGGCATGAGGCTCGTCAGGAAGGTCGACAAGGTAGACGGCGCGTAGGTGGCGCTAGTCTCTCCAGCCATGGAGCTGCTGCTGCTGATCATCGCGGCGGCCGTGCTCGAGGGCATGCCCGTCGACGAGGCGGTGGCGGCCGCCCACTCGGCCGGATTGGCGCTCGAGCCCAGGGTGACGGCTCGGGCCATGGGCTGCACGGTGGTGCGGGCGAGTCCCTGAAGACCGCCCGCGGGCAGAGCCGTGCTGGCGATGTCGCGCGCCCACTTCGGTCCCGACGTGGAGTAGCGCATATTGCTGCCGCCGGGATTGCGCGCCGACTCACCTAGGAATGAGCCAGCGTGACGTAGTGTGTGGTCCCTTATGCTCGCTGGGAGACAATGTGGACAATCGGGGGATTTTGGTTAGTATCTAGCGCCGGTCTCTAGGGCGACGTCTACTCTTATTTTTTTTTTCTCTTTTTTTGGGGGGCGCTTTTACGGGTGGTGCACTCTTTGCCCAGCATCAACGTGAGTTAGTAGATAAATGTAACTGATTGTCACACGGGGGATTTTGAGGTGACTAAAAAAGCTTGCAACTCTTTCGATTTCGTGACGTAGTGGGGGGGAAGGTGTGTGGTATAAAAAAAACTCCAAAAAACTTGCGGGTAACTCACCTAAGATTCCGGCTTCGGCGCGGCCTTGATTGCGATGGTACAGCGAGATCTCTTTGAGCATCTCGAGAACGAGGGAGCGAATCCACACGCAGATATTCGTGGCGACGACGTGCATCAAGCCGAATCGAGCGATGACTTTAAATCGATGAATGTTCAACTGTATTCGAATCAACGATAAACAACATTAATGACTCGGCAAATTGGTAGCCCTAGTCGCCTATGATAATACCCAACACTCGTACACATCGCGTACATAACACGATGCGACGCGACACCAAAAAATAGAATACGAGATAAAAGAAGTATAATCCAAGGAGCGAGCGCTGGTGAAAAATCTCGCGCAAATGGAATTGAAAAAAAGCTCTGAAAGCTTTTTCTCCGACTCCGCTCTTTTTTCTTTCTCTTGCTCGTCGTCGTCGCACTCGTGTTATAATATACGAGTGAGGAGGTTGAATAATATAAAAAAAAGTATAAGGACGCGACCGCCGCACTTACCCTAGAATTCATGAAGATAAAGTACATTTGCATGAATGTGAATATCATCTGTAGAAGGGGATTAACGCCTTGGAGGATCTGATAGCAGGGCGACGTTTGCGGCACCTCGAAGAACGTGCCGAACTCCAGGCCAGCGTAGACCATTGTGCCCAGACCGAAAGCTATATACATACGGACGGACGGACAGATTTATTATGCGGCCAGTTTTTGAATATGCTCGATTTTTCATCGACGTTTTACAAAACGGTGTTTCGTTTTTTTTTTTGTCATACAACAAAAGTAAGGGTGTCTCTTACCAATGGCGCCGATGCGCAGGAAAAAGCTACCGTGGGAATTGTCATCCTGCGACGTTTTGCGTCTTCGCACGGCGCGGGCCACTCCGGCCTCGACGTCCGAGGCGTCCTGAAATAAGCATTCCTGCATAGGTGCATTTAGCGAGAGCTGCTAAAAAGCCGCGAGCGAGAGCCTCTTTCGAGAGTGTGTCACTTTGTGTGTACGTGCATGTGTGTATGTATCGGTGTTACGTTTTTTGATGATTTTGTCGATTGTTTTTTGCGCATTCTCGACTACAATCGCATATAATACAGGGTGCATGTACTCTGGCAAGATCAATACATGGGTGTGGTGTAGCAGCAGTGTTATATTTTTAAAAGGAACGAGAGTACGAGATATTCGCGTCCGAACAGGCAAATGCTTCACGCAAACGACGTGTACGGCTATATAATATAAGAAAGAGCGAAACTCGCGTGCAGTCGCGACGATTCTATTTCTGAGCCGAACGCGCTCGGTAAAGCATCGGCGGCAGCACATGGCGAGGCACTAAAATCTCGCACTATATTAGACCTTATCTGCACGTGCGCATCCTAAAACGCAGTCGCCGACGCGGTTCCTTATAGAAAATAACGGCCGACTGCAAAGCTCGCGCGAGACACGACAGCGTACAACACACATCGCGCGTCTTGCGTCATTGTAAGTTTTGAATTCCATGCAGCGTATATCCGCGCTCGCGCGCCACATGTGCGCACATACGAATCTCGGTATATGGGGAGTATAAAAACATTAAGGATCGAGCAGTTATTTTTGCGCGTACATCGTTCGGGGCTGTGTACAATAGATCGAAATCGTGATTTTACAATGTTTACTCCAGATACATACTTCAAAGCACGCGCGTTTCAGCTGTATAGATTTTATATGAACGATGTAATATAAGCGACGCATTCGCGGAACGAGTTTCGACAACAATTTTCGGACGCGTGGATGTGTATTTACAAAATTCGTGTGTATGAATGTGGGTACGTGCGCTGGTGCTCGAATGAGAGCACGATGAATGGGTAAAATGGGTGAATGTGAGAGAGATTGTCCTTACGTGATCGGGCTGAAAAAAAGGAAGCAAAACAAAAACGTCTCGTTAGGTTTTGAAAAGGTATGACGGCATATAAATAGAAGTGTCGCAACGAAAACAGAAAAAGATCATGAAGCCGACAGCAGTTACGTTATTTTTTTCTCGAGCAAATAAAGGAATTTTATAATATGTACAGCAAAAAAAAAAGAGATAAGACTGCCGTTATATATTACACGCAAAATAAAATTCAAAAAGTAAGCCGGGCGCAGGGCGAGGCTGTGTGTAAAAATCCGAACCTGGAACTCCTTCTTATCCTTCTTATCCTTGTCCTTGTCCTTATCCTTGTCCTTATCCTTGTCCTTCTTGTCCTTCTTGTCTTTCTTCTCCTTCTTCTCCTTCTTCTCCTTTTTCTCCTTCACTGGCTTGGGCGCGGGCGGCGTCTCGGCTCCCTTGGAGCAGCAGGCGCTCTCCTGCAGCAGGAAGCAGAACACGTAGAGCAGGAACAGTATGCTCACGCCGTAGAGATAGGTGAAGAAGCCCTCGTAGTACCAGAGCGGCAGCCGGTGCGTCACGACCTCGCTCATCACGTAGGCCACGCACACGACCACCAGCAGCTTGGCGTAGATGAAGCTCATGATTATGAACAGGGACGTTCTGTAAACACACAAGGGGCGAATGCGCCCACGTTGAGCCATGTCGATGCGAAGGAGCAGCGGGTGAGATGATGTTTTTATGATTCAGTAAAATTAGGAGCAGTGGTCGAGCGTCGAAAACACCTGCGAAATTCCCCGTACCTTTCTTGCTTCTTAGCCATTCTCGTGATGTAACTGCTTCTCTTAATGGTCCCGTTCGGCGACAGATCGCCGTTCTCCACGAAGGGAGCTATCTCCACTTCCGTACCCTCCATAGCTTCGATCCTTTTTATTTATTATTATTCGTTCCTTGGCACGTTTTCTTTTCTCTCGTTTCCGGCGTACGGATTAAATATATAGAGATATTTTATTCAGCGACGAAATCACGACGACAACACGATTGTCGTCATCGTCGGCAGCGGCATATATGTATATTTTTCGCAAGCACGCACGCACTTCAACGGCGCTCGAGCTAATTCAACGCACTAAGGCTTCCGCTTTTGCCTCTCTCTGTTTCTCTATATATATTCCATGTAAGTGTACGTATGTATGGAGAGAGAGAGACTCCAACACTTTATACTGCTACTGGAGAGCACTGAAAGTGGCTATTTTCGTGGATCACTCGTACGTAGACGACGACGACGACTACCACGACGACAACAACATCGTTTTATACGCATAATCCCAAGTCTGGCTTCGTGCGCACGATTCTGCCTAGGCCAGTCCGAGCACGAGTGAACGGCCAGATATCGTGCATGTGCGAATGTGCTTTGGCTAAGAATTAATAGCTGTATGTTAAGTTTTGCCGTTTGATATATTATTTATGCGATGTCGCTGGAGTGGAAGAAATGAATCTTTTATTTTACTTCTCATTCAAGATGCTCTAGAGCATATACGCGGCTATTGGAGATGGATTGACGTTTAGCGCATTGGGTCAGATTAACTTTTTTTTCATTTCATTCTTTCTTTTAAAACGCTTCTCTCTGGCGAATACCATCGATTAATCCCCCGATAAAATATGCAAAATTCTCTCTCATATATACTCTCGGAATTTCAGCGCAGTAATGAAAACTGAGTGGGGGAGGAAAAAAACGCGTTCACCTATTCCGAGGCGGCCGATAAAAATTTACAAATTCACGCGAGGCGAGGCACTCTGTGTGTCTGTGTGTGGATCTCTCTCTCGGGGGGGAGAGAAAGAGAACTCTTGAATGATATATGTGCCGGCACACAATCTCGGGCACACAATCCACTTTACGAGATACACGATACACTCGACGCTTTTTCATCTCTCGCTATCTTCTCTCTCTCTCTCGCGCGGGCGTAAAATTTACATCGTTAATGCTCTCCTATATATCTCGTTCTCGGGCGCTTTGGATATGGGCCAAGTATCGGATCGATATTATTGTCATGTATATCGCGTCGTTGTAAGAAGAGCGATTTTATTTTGTAAATAATTTCAAGCGCCGCGTGGCTATGTGTATCACCGACTTGAGCTTGACTTTACAACGATTGCAAAATGTGAAAATAGCGAAGTCGGGGCTCTACCCATAAGTAAATACAGGGATGACCCGCTAGCTACGCTAGATTTACGTTTTAAGCTGATGAAGAATTAAAATCGAGCCAGTGTGTATATGTTCAACACAACTGAGCTTACCATAATTTCACGTTTATAATTGCAAAAGCACGAGCGCTTTTTTTGATTGCCCGGGGTAATTTTCAATTGAAAATTCGGGTTTTAATGCATAAATATATCCACGAATCCAGGAAAACAGTGAAACAGAGGTAGAGGCCTCTGCAGCATATCCGGGGAGAGCCGAAGTATATACGTATACACGAGTTCGTCAACCTACCCCCATTGCGGGAGTCAATACTGCAGCTACTACTAGGTACTGCCTACACGCCTGCAGCGCGTCGATTAATTAAATTATCGTCAGTGTATTATGTCGAGCTGTTTTTTTCTTGTTCCACCTTTGCGACGTCGCAACAGCAACAACACACTACGGTACACACAAGCTCGTGAAACACATGGTAGGATTTAATTAAAATGCCCATATATCTCTGCAGTACCCAGAGGAGCTTTCGATCGGATTCACCCTGATTACGTTACTGCTATCTATATACGTGCACGATACAAATGCATCTCTCTATTATACCGATTCATTATACCAGGGGAAGAGCCGTTCTGTCTTTTTTGATTTTTTTTCATTTACCGCAATTTACGGAAGTAGTTGCATCGTTATTGAGCACCCTTTGAATTTCCCCTAATTATCTCAAGTCAGGTGAAAATAATTAATGTACCGTCTTCGTCGTAAGATCAGCGTGCGTGATTAAATAATATCGCATATCGCATCGAGCATTGCACGCAGTGTATCGTTTTGAATTTCCTTATTTCCGCATCGCGTCTACCTATATATCTATATTGCGAGGCATGGGTGTGGCAGAGTAGCGGCAGGCAGTGCAGCAGCAGCAGCGCAGTAGCAGCCGCGGCGGCGGCGACGGCGCTCGGCGTACTGACTCCCGCATTCTCCGGCTTTCTCGCTGCTGCTGCTGCAGGCGCAAGACCAGCAGCAGCAACGGCGGCAACATGTATCACATACCACACGTACAGACGTGCACGAGTTCGAGAGTAAGAATGAGGGATATGCATTCGTTTATCGTGTTTCGCTCGTGTTTCGAAGAAAAGTTCGTTTTTCTCTCGCGCGCGCGCGCGTCAAAGCTCCGAATCTTCCCGTGTATGTATGCATGACTGTCGCGGCGCTTGCAAGCTCGCGAGACGAGAAAAAGAGAGCTTAATTCTTTCTCTTTCTGCTCTTTCTCCCTCGGTTTTTACGTACATAACCAACCACTCTATCAAAGATTGTCGCCTCCTACTTTTTCCATGTATGTTTGAGTGAGCGTCGCGCGTGGGCTTTGTATCCAGCTGTGCAATTCTGAAAAGGGCGAGATATTTCGCGCGAGCGTACGGCTTCGAAGTCATTATTTGCCACGATGACGTTTTCGATTTTTTCCCCCTTACTCCCACATCTTTGCTCGCAAAAAACGAAACGAAATTTCAAGTGAGCACGACAAAAAAAGGGTCGCCTTAAAAGCTCGGTATTACATCTAATTACTCTCGGTTCAGAAAAATTTGCTCGTTAAGTGAAAAAACTCGGTAGGCAGGAATATTCGCGATAAGCCAGAGATATTTACCCGAGCGAGTAACTCTTGAAACACTTTTCGCGAAATATATAATATGTGCCACGAGGTACGCGCGCGCGCGTCGCACAGAGCTTTTTTGCCTACTTTCAGCGATTCAAAAGCAAACTCTCTCTCGCTCGCTCCCACTCTCCTCCTCGCCTATACGTCTTATCGCAAAAGCAAAGCGAGGGTAAGAAGAGAAAAAAAAATCCTCTACACTCGACCTTATCCAATATACATTCAAGATGGTACATTTTTCATATTTTACGCGCGTCTAATCCTCCTTAAATCCGGCGGATCCTTTTTGCGTCGAGGATCTTCTTCTCCGAACGTATATCCGCTCGATAAAATACATCTACTTCAATCGGTCTCAATGACCTAACAACGTGTATACAAGAATCTCGATCTCGCATTCTTTCGACGAGGCCAGGCGGGGGGAGAAGAATAAAATTTAAATGCATAATTATATGTGCACTCGGAGAACGTGTCACAGTTTTTCTGCTGTGTATACACTACTCCTTCGCACGAGCTGCTACTTCGTAATACACGCCCAATCTATACAACTATAGTCAGCGCTTTTTTTTCTCTTCTTTCTTCTTGTTTTAATCGTTTTCTCTCTTTCTCGAGCTCGCGAGCGAGCGAGACAAGAACGCGGAAAAGCTACTGCAGCCTAGTACTGTAGTAGTTGTGTAGTAGCAGTAGAGCGCGAGCGAGCCCCAGACTTTCGACCGGTCGATATCATTTTTTTCGCTCTTTCTCTCGTTCTCGTTTTTCTCTCTCTCTTTGCGCCGAGTGCACTTTCGAGTACCTGCTATATGCAGTTTCAATGCGGGGCTGCACAGAGCGAGAGAAAGAGAGCCTGGGGTACATAACATGGCTCGATTAAATTTACTTTTCGCATTAATTTTTATATGCTCGTATAATGAATTTTCGTGCAACAGCGACAGAGAAAAAAAAGAAGCGGCACGAATCAGTAATGCATCGTCCGTTAATATACAGCATGTATTCTTAATTTTAGGAATTGATTGCGCAGGCATCGCTAATGCATGTGCCATTATAAATATAATAGGCGTTACAAAACGTAGGTCGAGTCGACGCAATACACGCGCGTGGTCGTGATTCTTTTAATAATTCGCCCGCGACGACGACGACGATCGTCTATATGCTGCTGCCACGCGAGCTTTTATTTATTTACTTTTTTTTCTCTTATAAACTTTTCATTTTATCGCCAGGACCACGATGATCTTAATTATGCTAAACGAGCCGCGCGCTTATGCACTGTATAAGAGAAATTTTGCACGCAGCGTGAAATGTGTGTACACTACATATAGTTAAATTGCGTGCGCGGCGCGCGTCCATTGAAATGATTATCGCGATAGTTGACCGCAATAGATGTCTGTCGGCATGCTGCATGTATACATACACACTTTCGCAGAACGACTAATTAAGCTTAGGGAACTCTCGTTCGTTCGTTGTTGTTCTATGTATATATTTATTAACGATCGCTGTGGGAATACTCTCCTCTGTGTGCGCCTACTTTTAATCATTTTGTTTTTCCAACGAACCACAAAAAAGTTTAAGGAGCGGAAAAAATATGAGAAAACACGATTTTGCATTATCGATTGGAGTGGAGCGCGCACTGCACATTGCACGCGCGAGAGCTGCTAAACGATATAATTTCGTAGTCGTGCGCGGCACAGAGCATAGTAATTATTCGGATTCCTCGTCGAGAGGTGTAGTATATAGATGTCTACGAGCATTGACATGTGGGTACAAAAAAAAAAGAAAAAAATTTACTAGGTCGTATTGCGAAATACGCACGCGTTATTTTCATAGTTCTCCGGT